ATACATAAAATAATGTTCTTATTTATATATTATATACCACATATAAAATAAAATGATATATAAATAAGCATGTTATTAGAGTAAAATGTAATTAATATGCTTTAATGTATATTTTGTGTACCTTACAGGTTATATAGCAAGGTTTCTGGTTTGGGGCTTTGTTGGATTCCTGTGTGCCAACGTACATGTCTCTGTGTCTATGTGTGTATCTTGTTAAAGGAGCTGTTGTGGGTTTTTGGTCCAAGAGGGGGGTTTTCATTGGGGATGGACCTGACCAGGAGAAAGTGAACAGAGGTGAAGATGCCCCTTTCAAGCCATGAGCCAGAGACTTTGGGAGTTAGCTGTGGCTTGTGATTCGAATCAGGTTCCCCTTTTGTTCTTTAATATTTGTCCATGAACTTTATAATAAATGGTAAAGAAATTTTACAACAGTTTCTGTGGGGGTTTTTGGCTCTTTATTTTTTCCCTGTTCCTTTTTTCTCCCATTCAAATTTGTTTGTTTTCATTTTATCTTTTTAAAATTATTGTTGCTATTTAGATGCCTGTTTTATAGTGAGAGAGAGCAAGAAAGGGCGTGAATATGGGTGGTGGTGAGGATCTGGGAGGAGTCAGGGGAAAGTGAAACCCTAGTCAGAATATCTATCTATCTATCTGTCTATCTATCTATCTATCTATCTATCTATCTATCTATCTATCTATCGTGTGTGTGCACGCGCGTGTGTGTATACACATATATTTGCTTTTCAATAACAAAAAGGAAAAGCAAACAAATGACTAAACGAAACCAAACTAAGCCAAGCAGAAGAGAAGCCCTGGAGGAACAGTCCCCGACTATGGAGTGCGCCTCTGCAGTCTGCTACTCGCAGGTTCCTCCTTGGCTGGCAAAGACATTCATTTCTTCCCCTTTCAGGCTTTATTCTATTTTTAAAAAACTCCTGTTTATTCATTTATTGTGGTGTTTTATATACATGCATGTCTGTGTTCCCCTGGAACTGGAGTTACAGGGAGTTTGTCAGCTGCCATGTGGGTGCTGGGAATTGGATCTGGGTCCTCTGGAAGAACAGCCAGTGCTCTGATAGGTTTCATTATTCCAAATGCTTTTGATTAGAAAAATCATTTCACAGAACCAAATTATCAAAATTTATTTCTATTTTCCTATTATTTTAAATGATCTGTTTATTATTTAGGTCTTATACGGACAGGTTAGTAAATAAAATACTTGGGGACTTAGGTTTTATGCCTACAAACCTTTCCTGTCCCTCACAAGGAAACTGTAGCGGGTAGTACATACATACAATAGCCTATAACTCACTATGCCTTTGACAAACTCTGTAAGAAGCAGCTGGCAGACTGACTTGCAGTGTGAAGCACTACATGTTTAGATGCTGTACAGATCTATGTGCATTGACAAACATAGTTTGTCAATTACTCAAATTTCCTTCTTAGGCAGCATATGAGAGTTACAGTTCACGAATGAACAGCAACCTATCTTTTGTGATGTAAAAAATAACTTCACAATATGATAGGAGACTGATATCCTTCTGAGCTTGCCCAGTATTGGAGACTTTAATTCAGTGGTATATATAGGCTATAAATCCATACATACATATTTATAGGCTTACAAATATACAGATCCAAAAGAAGAGGACAAAACTACTGATGAACCAGCAAGAGGAGTACCCATTAACTGTATGAAAACTTAACTTATTGCTTTTGGAATATTTGCGCCTTGTCTACAATTTAAATAAAATAGATTTCATTTATGATACTGCATGATATTACAATTTCCTAATTTTTAAAATGTTCATTAAACTACCACGACAACTCACAACCGTGGTTGTAACAAGCACCGTACCTGCAGGTGTGGTCGTCACTCACACTGGCAATCTCATGGCCTTCCTTGGGGTGGAACACCAGGTCATTGATGAAATCTGAGTGGCCCTCCAAAACCTGGGGGAGAAAGAGCATTAGGGAAGCATGGCCACCGTCTACAATCTCCGTATAGAATGCTTTCACTTTGTAATTTTTCCCTCTTTTTTTTTTTTGGTTTTTCGAGACAGGGTTTCTCTGTGGTTTTGGAGCCTGTCCTGGAACTAGCTCTTGTAGACCAGGCTGGTCTCGAACTCATAGAGATCCGATCTGCCTGCCTCTGTCTCCCGAGTGCTGGGATTTTTTTTTTTTTTTAAGGTTTTTCCGAGACAGGGTTTCTCTGTGTAGTTCTAACTGTCCTTGAACTCTGTAGACCAGGCTGGCCTTGAACTCAGAGATCTGCTTCTGCCTCTTGAGTGCTGGGATTAAAGGCGTGCACCACCACAGCCCAGAATACTTCTCTATAAATATATTTTAAGAAAGCTGCCATTTTAACAGTATGTTTTATATAGCCACTCTCCTAGAGAGTTGCATTGGAAAGAAGTCAATCATTCAACACAGTCCCTTTGCTAGTATGTATTTCTTATAGAAACATACTAATTTTAACTGCATCTGTTCTCAGAGCATCTCTGTGCTGTTATTACTTAAAGCTCAAATAAAAACTGAAGCGGTAAAAACATTTTGGGCTTCCTGAGACATAGTCCTTCTAGGCTTCTTCTCGTGGATCAGTTGCTTTACACACTACAATCACCTAGCAAATATACGCAATGTCAAGTTCACCTCTAATGTGTGCAGTCGTTTGTCCAATGGCAACGACAGCACCGGAGGCAGCTAACACTACAAGCCCACAGCCACAGCCAACACAAAAGTCCTCTTCTGGCCCTTGAGGGAACAACTGGAAACTTGCAATGACCATTATTATTCTATAAGTACAATTTCAATTCATCATGAGAGCCACTTACTATTAATAGAATATATCTATATTTCTTTATACAGACACACACACCACGCAGCTTACTATGTATAAAGCATTAGTCTGAAGGTCTTACATAAATTAGCTCACTCAGTATCTATAACCCAGAGGCAGGTGCTAGACCCCAAACTTATCAGTAACAGTAGAGTCCCTGCAGGCAGGACTGAGCTTTGAAGGCAGGGAGTGTGACTCTGGAATCTACTGTCTTTTTTTTTTTTTTTAAACTTTCTTTTTATTTATTCTTTGTGTTTTTTACATCAAGCCTCCTGATCCCAACCATCTCTCCTGAAAATAATATAAAATAATGACTTAGAGAAAAAGGGGGAAAATGGAAGGAGGGGGTCTCATCACGGAAGCTGCAGTGTGACACAGTGAGTCAGTCACACAGTAAACTTTATCCATACATTGTTACACGCAGGCATTCATTTCCAAGAACAAGGGGTCTGGTTCGAGGCCCCTTTCCTCTGCCGCACTATCAACGCTTGGCTCCCGCTGGGATTCCTCCTGGACATCCGGCTGTACCCGGTGTTGCTGCACCTACTTTCCTAAGGAGATCTGCGTTTAGTTTTCTAAAAATCAACTTAAATCTTTCCCAACTTTATTGAGGCTTCTTACATTTATTTAAGGAGTAAGCTCATGCTGTACAGATTATAGCAACAGAGCTAGCCTGCCCACAGGAAGTTGTTAGACATACTTGTCTCACTTTCCTTATGTGGACTGTGGGAACACCTAGGGCCTATGCCCTCAGCAAATTTTAAGAATGCCGTATGCTATTTTTCATTTTTGTAGTTATCGATGCTTACATCATGCTCATTCTCCTTTCCTCTCCACTCTGTCACCCTGCCTGGACTACTCTACACTCAACATTTGTCTCCTGAAGCTATATGTCATTCCACCCACACTACATCCACATGTAAACCCCTCTCTTGCTGGCTGTTCCTAGCATCTCTAAGTGCTATGTTTACTAACTAGCTCCTTCTAACAGTCCAGCTACTAGGGTGTATAATACAGTAAATGAAACCTAAATTGCAGACTTTGAAGAGAGGGCGAATCATAACCACGAGCTTGACGGGATCTTGAACTAAGACACAGGCCTTTGGACGGAAGGGAGAAGACCTTCCCCCAGAGTGCCTGCACCGGGTGTAAATGGTCCCAGGAAGAACCAGGGCTGCTTGTCAGCCTGCCTTCACTTCTGGCTGCTGTGCCCTATTCTTTGCTGACAGCACATTGCCCATGCACTGAGACACTGGCCCTGCTGAGCTTCTGAATTCACTGAGTCGCCAGCCCATTCAGCACGTCAACTGCCACTGCCAGATGACCCAGTTCCTATTAGTAATGCCAGTCAAGCCAATATCCACTTTTATAATATGTATTCATTCTACTGCTTTTGTTCCTCTAAAGAATTCTTGATTAATCCAATAGCCATTAAAAGGTCATCTTAAATCATAAGTACAATTTAATAAGCAAAGAAAATAAACATACTTTAACATATCAATTTATTGTAGTTGTCAATATACCTTATATTCATTTTTATCTTGAAGATCTGAAGTAAATAATCTAATCTTCATATCAGCAGCTGAAGTACAAAATCTGAAGAAAAAAAAACAAACAAACCGATTTTTAGCCTTTGGAAATTAAAGGTTTCTTCCTATGCCACCTTGGCTTCTAAGTCATCAAATCTTGTCATAACTCATGACGCTTTTTCGGATCAGTGGTGGTTGAGGGCAGGGGTTACTGCAGTTTGCACTAAAAATATTACAGCCATTAAAGAAAGTAGGAGACAAAGCCAATGTCTGGAACACATAAAATCTTAGTAGTCTGGATTTGTGTCTCCAACTATTAACACAGAATTTCATGTTAAGCCAGCACAGAACGCCTCACATTCTCTACTGCTCTCTGAGTTTTTGCTACTTTAGGGCTTACAAGTCATCCTTTAAGAAAAGCAGACAACCTCAGAGACATGAACCAAGATGAGTAATCTGTTCTCAACTACTGTGAGTGAAAAACAAGCGGGATCAGAAGGGCAGCGAGTCAGGAGAGGACAACAAACAAACACAGCACACTGCGTTACCAATGAGAACTTCTTAAATACAAACTAAAACTCAACAGCGAGATTCTAAGCCATACCTTAGCCATTTACAGAGCCCACGATGTAGTCAAAAAGAAAATTCTATTCATTTCAAAATACTCTTAAAAAACAAAGCAAAAATAGATCATATGACCATAATCATATACAATTATATACGAGTCAGGGTACCAACTTGTTGGCTTCTCTTAGCTCTACTGGATGAAGAACTGTCTTGAGGAAGATATTAAATATATAAATATTAGTAAGAGCCAATGAATGAGCAAGTCTGTGTTGTAACTGCTGCCACAGAACAGCAAGAGGTCTCCACATAGTCATCCTAATTATGAAGCACTGGCTTGGAGTGTCACCACTCATGAAGAACATGTACATATCTAAGTAACACAACATGGTTTTCTTCTTTCACTATGGAAGTACAAGGGTGACACTGAGCAGACGGGACACCGACATTGTGGCTGAGAAACCACTGCGCCAGTGTTTGCTTCGATGAAGTAGTTACAATTCTCAGTGTATTTTCAAACTGCTTGTCAGACGGTCTGGTCTGAATTTTACTTCTATATTTTTTAAAGTAGTTGCCAACAAACATAGATGCTGCCAAAAAGTGATGACATGAATGGCCGTGAACCACGGAGTATTTGTCTCGGAAAGATGGGATTTATAAAGTCTAGTTAAAAACAAAACAAACAAACAGAAAAAAAAAAACAGGCTGGTAAAGAGACATGATCAAATTCTTAAGCTGAGTGTCAGATGGCAACTCTGTGTACTCCATGTAAAATCTGGAAGGTAACATATCGTGTTGATGTCCTCTTTATCATCAGCTTGGCAGAATTTAGAATTGTCACGGAAACAAATTCACGGGCGGGCATGGCGGAAGGCACTCTAGACCATCAAATAAGCAAGGCTCCTTTCCATCATAACGCCAGTGCCCACTGTCTGCACCGTCACAGCGGTGCTGGTGACCGTGGTGTTCACTCTCTAAGTCACATCTGACGCACTAATTCCACTAATGACACCTAAAGCTGTACGCCAGCATCTGTACCCATGCACACACACAAACTGCACAAAAGTACATGCACTTACCAAAACTTTATAAGACTGTACTTAATATATTTTATCTTCGCTATGTGTACACGTATGTGTTGGTATGTAGGTGTGTGTTGGTGCCTGTGCAGGCTAGTGGTATCAGATCCCCCTGGAGCAGGAGTTGCAGGTGGCTGTCAGTCCCCTGAGAACTAAACTTGGGTTCTCTGCAAAAGCAGTATATGCTCTCAACTCGTGAGCTATCTCTTTGGCTCATTAAACTATACTAAGAGCTCACGGTTTCATTAGATATAAGTTGTCCCTTAATTAAAATTTTAAGTTACTTCAATAATAGCTAACTTAAACTTATTAAATACTTTTTCCCCAAAAGACAAATCTTTAGGCTTTGCCCATTTGTAGGAACCAAGACCAGGGATTTGTAACACACCTTAAATAACCTAATAAAGTTTTAGCACACATCAATACTTGATTTTTCCCAAAAGTAATTCTTACTTTTTAAAAAATGCTTTCATCAGAACTGAAGCCCAGTGACCAAATTAGAGATTTATGTTCTCCTAAAAATGAGACTATGACCTTGGTTCACATTTGGGGTCAGAAAGGCTATACTACTGTTTCAGAAAATGTTATTTTAACAAAGAAGCACTTTGCTGTTTTTATAATTATTTTGTGTGTGCCTTGTACATACACACAATGGCGGTCTGTGTGGGTCACCGGACAACTTGAGGGAGTTGATTAGCTTTCCTTCCATCTGATGGCAGGTACGTTTACCTATTGTGCAATCTTGCTGGCTCTTAAATCATACTTTAATCAAAAGTGCAGACTCTGTGATGACTTTGACCAATTCTAATGAAACTCAGGTAGAGATTCATAGTTTGGACCACACACATGGTCAAGGCAATGGTCACAGTCACAAATCTAAATTGCAAAGATGATATGTAAAATTATTAAATAACAGCAAATATCTAATCACCCAATAGGCTGGGGGCATTTGGGGTCAATGGACACGAAGGCCATGAGTAATACTGCATGGGAATGTTAAAACTTACTTGATCACAGGAGGCAGAGAATCTAGTTTGGTTTCTGGGCTCCAGGCTATACCATCAACTCGGACTCCATGGTGAAATGTCCGTAGTGTTTTGTATTGAATTCCTTCAATATCTGCTTCTTCCTCCTAAATGTATACAGTAAATGTTTTAGTATGGAGACAAACGATGCTCTGAATTTCATCTCAATCAAAATTTAATGGAGGTATGCATATGCTTCTGAAGAGTGTAGAAGAAAACTAGATACTGAGAGCATACTAGTTTGTGGATTAAAAGGAATATTGGGGGCTTGAGATAAACATAACATAACATAAAGGTATGTTAGTGTGTGTCTAACATACAAGGCTCTAGGTTTGATTACTGGGGCTTGAGATGGAGTTTTAGTGTTTGTCTAACATAAAAGGCTCTAGGTTTGATTACTGGGGCTTGAGATGTATAGCTTTAGTGTTTGATTAATATGTACAAGGTCCTAGGTTTGATTACTGGGGCTTGAGATGGAATTTTAGTGTTTGATTAATATATACAAGACCCTAGGTTTGATCCCTAGCACCCCAGGGGGAGGGGCAAAAGAAATGTAAATGAACAAACAAAAACAGTTGTTAAGCCCAGTTACAAAGAAAGACAAAATACCTCTTAGGTAAAACAAAGCAGTAAATTTACTTTACCTAGGAAACGTAACATTGCCTAATAACTTTTTCAAAAATGAGATGGTATATGTAGCTTATCAAGTGATAGACAACTGAACACATACTTGAGTTTTTAACTATGTGGAGGATCCTTTGGATGACAGTTCAAGCTTCCACATCAGTGCTAATTTCCAGTGTTAATATGCATAAGACGTTGCAATGCACCTGTCCCATTAGAAGCCATGGACGGTGACTATAAAGGTATACTGGTTCAGAATTCTGGTATATAATAATAAATACTACATAGAAAATAATGAATGGCCACAAAAAAATCCCAAGCACATTTCCTGGGAGAAAGAAAGGCAATGAGGGAAGACACTTTGGGATCTTCCAAAATAGCTGCTAATCTCCCAATTCTTAGACTTCCGAGGATCTATTTTATGTATTTCTTTACACACTTCAGAGAACACTCTCCCTTGTGTACTTGTGCTGAATCCCAGTAGATGAACTGGTTTTCCCAGGACAGCTTCTGAGATCCCAGCAAAGCCACTGCCCAGGCATCTTCCCCATGTCTCTTAAATTCAAACACCATTTGCAAGTAACTTTAAATTTCAGGTAAACTTAACAAAAAGATTTCCCACTAATTGAAGAAATGGATAGAAATACACTTAGTGGGAAAAGGGACCTGACAAGTTTTACTACTTCATAATTTGCGTGCATCACAACCGCTCAGCTAACAGACGCGCAGGCAGCAGCCACCACGCAGCTGAAAGTGAAGTCCAGCAGCCCAATCGCAGCTGACTGCAGACTGACTTAGCTCTATTTTTCCATACTTGACAAATCTAAAAATGAATTTTTATATAAAAACACACATTATTTTGCTACTGTAACGAGAGTGATGAAAAGCAGGTCCTGTATTTGTCACTCAAATTAGATATGGAATTACTGAGCGGCCAGAGGGATGGTGAAATCACGGGGCTGCACAGACTGAGCTTTATGTATCACCAGCAAGCCTTGCCCTGCCCCGGCAGGACTGTCTCTTACCGAGCAGCCGATGAAAGGCACAGTGTGTGTGGTATAGACAGAGATGAATGAACTTTCTGGTTCAGTCCGGGGTGTGGGCAGTATTGTATAGGCAGGAAATTAGAGCCCTTGGAAAACTTGCTGTAATAGAAATGGTTACACAAGGCTCCAGCAATGTGAGGCTGAGGAACAGCCCCCTCGGTGGAAGGGCTATTAAAGGATCTGAAAGTGGCAGGCTTTCCACCACACCCATTTAGAGCCACGTTCAGAATTTCAGGTAAATTAAGGCTGGTGTATCTAATGCAACTCTTATTTAGTGCTTTCATTTTTATTGAAACATCTGAAAAAATATTAAAAAAAGAATAGCTCTCTGAACACTTCCAATGAGAAAGAAAGGACTGCTTTGGGAGAAGCAGATTCAGCAGTAGATAGGGCTATTAGTGCTCTTAGCATTAAGCCGGACTGTCTCCATGTAAATTCTACTTAATGCCCTAGTCCTGTTTCTGGAAGTGTAGAGAATAAGCTTAGTTTAGTGATGGCAACCCTTGCTGTAGCCATTTCTAATAGGTGAACACATTCAGAGCATAATTTAGCGCCAGTCTTGAAGCAACAGCTGCAAACAAACGGAGGTGATACGTCAAACTCTGCCAGTCCAATACCACTTCCATGAGTTTTAAACAATTCTAATAAGGCTCTGACACTTGTTTTCAAATACATGATCTCCTTTTAATCAGAGTACAATGCTGAGAAATAAAGATTATTATATAAAATATTATCAATTTATAGAGAACTGTGCTGTCTGATAAGGTAGCTAGTAGCCACATAGAACCTAAAACATTTGAAATGCAGCTAGCATGTATACTTACTTTATAAGGTATAAAATATATACAAAGATCTCTATTAACATATCAACTATAATTATATTATTTTTTAATTGACTTATGTTATTATTTTGATTACATATGAAATATTTTAGTTACCTTAGTAGAATGTTGAGAGTTAATCCGACCTTTTATTTTTATTGTCTGGGAATGTGTGTAGATGTGTACAAGCTGGAGCCAGAGGACAACGTTTAGGAGTTGGTTCTTTTTCCCACCACATGGATTGCAGGGATTGAACTTAGGTCACAAGGCTTGGCAAGTGCCTTCCCCACTGAACTATCTTGTGGCCCTACTCTTATGTTATTACCGCAACATTTAAACTTCTATTTGTGGCTCATGTTATATCCTAACTGGATATAGTATTGAATTCGCTCTGCTTGGTTCCCCATTGTGTTGACTCGGGTTAATATTCAGGTGGCTAAAATTTCTGAGTCCTAATTCTCCCTTCCCAGTTCTAAGTCTATTGTCTTAAGACTTATAGTCTTCTTTATTAAATTTTTGCTTGTTTGAGTTGGTCCAATCTTTTAAACAATGTTTGGATCTGAACACAAGAGTTTGGCATACAAGTGGAACTCAATAAATACTTGTTAAATGAAGTTGGTTATCCAAAGGATTAAGGTATCTTTGTTTCATTTTCTCCACAAAAACAATGTACTCGCCTAGATCAACGTTCTCATTCAAGCCCCACTAGAGACGTCTTTATTACTCAGGAGTGAATGAGCTGCGAAACTTTATCCTCATTCGGTCATTTAGAAACGAGGCTTTTACAAGAGCACTGATTTAAGATCTCTTTGGGGATAAGGTCTTTACCAATTTTTATTTCTGAATTTCCTGGCCCTTAGTGCTCACACATTTGGACAAATGTCTAACAATCAACAAGTCTACCATTTCGACCCGCATTTCTGGATCCTTCTGAGGACGGCATGAGATTCTGAAATGCTTCTGCTCAAACTCCAAACCTTCTGGACTCAGCCTTTCCTGACAATCTTATTGTTTCTAACAGGCATGGGGAAATTGGTTCCATTTATATAAATTTTCTTACAAGATATGAAATTGGGTGATACCACACTTAAAGGCTCTAGGGTGAGAGAATGGGAATGTTCAATAGTATCTGAATAGATACACGAGAACTGTAGTTTCTTTTCAGTCTCCAAGGGCAAACTAATGAAAATAAATCCTTCAGAACATTTGAACTATTGATTTAATTTCAATAGAAACAGAATGGGTTTGATGGAAGGAAAGAACAGGGTTTAGAAAGAGATCTAAATCTTGTTCTCATTTCTTAGTTATGTAATCCCCTAAGACAGAATGGAAACTATTCTCTTCTGGAATGGAAAGGCCAGTGGTTCTTAGCTCCACCTCTGTGTTCATTACGGGTAGGAGAACAGAAAGCCCCACTGGTTTTTCCTTAGATAACTTGGAAGACCTACTTTGTAGCTCTCACAGGTCTGAGGATCAATAAAGACAAGCCTTCTGAACCATACAAATACTTCGTGCATCTCCCTTCTCGTTTTCCTTTCTCCTCGTTACCTATTTTCTTTTTTTCTTCTCCTGATATTTTTTCCTTTCTCTCTTTCTTCCAGCATTTCCTAACTGAATTTAAACTAGAAGAAAATATATTTATCAGTATTTGGAAACACAATTCTGTGTCTGCATCTATTAATTCAGGAAGCACTGACAGTAATTAGGGGAAACACAATCCCACCATATGAATTTTTATCTGCTTTTCTGTAGATCAGTGGCCCACATTAGAGAAAGTTTAATAAACCTTCCTTAAGATAATGCTACATTATCACATGAATCACATGACTTGTGATTCTGACAGTCCAGTTGAACTTAGGTCAAGGGTCATAAAAATATAGTTCTGTAAACATTACTTTGGTAAACAAAGAATTGCAGAAATTCCAGAGGGTTGAATCCTCCTTGCTGAGTGTTTACTATATGTAACCTCGGTTTCCTGTGAGAAAACACGGTATGGGGTCTCTTAGGAGCAATTTTCCTTTGATGATTAAATATGAGAGCATGGCTGTCATTACTGTCCCTCTCGACCACAACTAAAACTCACATACAGGTTACAATGTGTCAAATGTTCTATGGGAAACTTACATGCATTCACTCCCTACCCCTCACAAACCGTACTGGACATCATATTCCTCACATCTAGAGAAGAGAGGTTAATTATCTAATGAAGGTTTAATAAGTCAATGTCTAGGCAATGTGGCTGCAGAGTTCAGAGCTACGAACGGCCTGCTGTAGACGCAATCACACACTTTGCTATTCTACTTGTACACTGCAGATACAGAAAGTGTGAAAGCAAATCCATAGGAAAGACGAATATTACAAAAGCTACAGATTCTTTCAGAGAAATTTTCTTTAGAATTTCAACGTAACCCTGTTTCCTACAACACATTATAATGCAGGGAAAGTGAACCGGACTGCATTTAATTGGACGCTTTAATACATGTGTGTGTGTTCAGTTACATCATACCCTTTATGAACATATAATATATAAGAATATTCCACTAGTAATCATTGGGTTAAGAAGCGCTTCATACTTTTTATTTTGCCATCTACGTAATGTGTACACAAGTCTCAATCATTGCAACTGGGAGAGCCTTTCTCTGTGGACCGTCAAGTCATTTTTTTAAGCGCAACACAATTCTAAAGTTTAGCCTTGGTTTGTGTATTCTGTAATTGATAAAACACCTCCACCATCGCTCCTTGCAGTCTGTAGACTAACCTGAAACGTGCACAGGCCAATGACCACGTAATTACTGCCACCATACGCAATTAGGTTTCCCGAGTCCCCACTCTCAAAGGGATTAAATTCTACCACATGGACATAGTCTTCACAGTCCACTGTGTAGGCGGCATTTCTTGTCGCATCCTGTTTCATCTTGGATGAAGTTCTGAGGATCAAACAGCCTTCGATTGACTGTCGCAAATGTCGGCTAGAAACAAAATGAAACAGTGTTAGTTTTCCAAGGGAGGAATCAAAATAAGGCTAGGCATTGCAACACCTGGGGCAGCGTAAAAGAGAATTCTGCTTATATTAACAAACACACATGTTCAGCACCTGAAGGTTGAATAATTTTAATAAAAATAGATTCCTAAAATTATCCTGTAGCAGAGATACAGCACTATCTGTAGTTGGCATGCTTTGCATTTTACTGACATCATGACACCTAAGAGTCCCATAAAAGCTGGAACTACCAATAGTTCCCATTTTGCCTAAGATCTTGCCAAGTGGAGAAACGGGGAAAGACTTATGCCTAGAAGCTAGAGAAAACACAGATACACACATTTGCCTTTTTTTTTTTTTTTTTTTTTTTTTTCGAGACAGGGTTTCTCTGTGGCTTTGGAGCCTGTCCTGGAACTAGCTCTGTAGACCAGGCTGGTCTCGAACTCACAGAGATCCGCCTGCTTCTGCCTCCCGAGTGCTGGGATTAAAGGCGTGCGCCACCATCGCCCGGCTGCCTTTCTTAAGACTATGCTATAATATTTCTTTTAATTATATGACTTTTAATATTCCAGTTTGACAGTCTAACCAAATTCCCATACAGTGTGGGGTGAACTGGAAACGCCTACCCCTGCCTAAAGAGACAAGGAGTAGAAGAGCCTAGAAGGATATTATGGTCTAGGAATGTTACGAATCAACGTGAACCCACGCACTAAAATGAGCAGATATGAAACACAGGACCTGAGGTAACGTGAGAGATCCATGCTATAACGCTAGCCAAAAGGCTCAACGTATCTGTAACGGGACAGGTAGCGGGCACTGAATAGCATCCCCACAAGAGAATAACTTTAATTTGCTGTTGATTAAGACGAGGTGTCATTCTAGGCTCAGAACAAACACATTAAATATCTTTCTAGTATCTACAGAGATGCAGATGAGACCTCCCCTCAGGGAGCTTATATATCAATAATAACCTTAATAAATGAGCATTCCAGTCTGGACACGTGTTACGGGTGAACACAGACGTCTATAGAGCAGAGAGAAAATAGGACGTGCAAGAGATTCGCAGGCCGGACTGGAAGGCGACCCCTCCCACACCTCCAAGTCTCTAAAGCCTGGGGTCGACATTCTCAGGGCCCGCCTAGGAGATCCAGTCCCCCACGGGTGTTCCCCCCCGACGCCTCTCCGGAGACAACCCACGCCCACCCCGCGGTACACAGGGAAGAGCTCCGGGGAGCAGGGCAGGGTCCCTGGGGGAGCGTCACGGGCTAGCGGCCCCCGACCACGCCATGCTCTCTACCTACGCACCGAAGGCTGGGAGGGCGACCTGGGCACAGCTTCCTGGCTCTGGGCGGGGCCGGCGCTCGCCGGTTCAGCTTCCGGGTCGGAGGGCGAGCGCGACGATTGGTTCCTGAGTCCGGCCGCGAGATTTGAAAGGCACGCCGAGGCCATTCAAACGTCCGCCCCGTCTGGTGTCCCGGCTGCGCTGCTCCTCCTTTGGCTCGCACCCATCTGGGCTTCCCGAAGTAGGTGAACCTCGCCTTTTCTCTGCCCTTCGGTCCCATTGCGCGTGGTCATTCAGGCTGCTGCTTCGCGAAGGCGATTCGGGTGACCGCGGGATTGCCTCGTCGTCAGGCAGCGGCGTCGTCTGGGCAGTGGCTGCGCCCTGACTTCACAGGGTTCTGTGCGGAAGGACCCGGGAGGTCGCGAGGGCTTGACTTGTTTGTAGCTGGGCAGCATGAAGGCCGTCCAGATCTGCTGGCAGTCCGGTCACACGCCCTGTGCAGATCCCCACGTCCAGAGTGTGTGTCAGCTGTTGCATCCTTCAGAGGGACCTTTCAGGACCGGACTAGGAGGGGAACAGTACCAGCTGTCATCCCTTTTATGCAGTGTTTTCTAAGTGCTGGCAATAAGAAAGTTGTATATTGCTTTGCTTCACTGATGCCTCGGAATCCTTTTTAAGTAGAAATGCCCGTCTCCGTGGACGTGAAGAAATGTACGCTCATCGCGGTGGATGTGGTGGCAGGGATGCTGGGCCGTGAGGCGCTCTCCAGGGACAATTCCCCGTCTCAGAATTTCTGCTTTAGTTCACCCTGAATCCAGATTTTGAAACGAGAGTTTATTACTTCTGCCACCTTCTATCTCCTTCATCCTCCCCTCGCCCTTCTTGGCTCACTCCTCTGTAGAGGGACCCTTTACATTCAGTTTCCATAGTCAGTGTCTCATTGATTCTTCACAACGGCTGGGAGGTAAGAGCAGGGGGTGAGGCAGCGCCCTGCTTCCCACGTGATAAGACATCTACCGGGGCAGCCAGGTCCAGACCGAATGTAGGCTTAGGCACCAGGGGGAGAGCTGGGGCGACACTAGAGGTTGGCAGGCCAGCTGCAGGGCCTATTTGTGAATAGCCGGTTCCAGAGCTAAACATTGCTTTTACGTGTTTAAATGGTCGGCGAAAAAAAATTGAAGGAGAAAAATTTTGTGACTTCTGAAGATTATATGAAACAGGTTTTGGTGTCCAAAAATAAAAGAAATTTTAGTGGGGTCCAGCTATGTTTCTTTGTCTATGCATTATTCCTGGCTGCCTTGCTATGACAAGGCCAAGGACAAGGTTGTGAGACAGATTGTATGGCCTGAATGGCTCACATATTTAGTGTTTCCCTCCTTCCAAAAAGTAATAGCCTCCCAGATGAGACTTTTGGCTTTCTGACACTGGTTGTAAGGCTCTTTCAATTTTAACTCAAAACAACTTAACAACCCATGATGCACGATCATAACTAATGTGACTGGCATTGCTACAAAAGTATTAGATGTAGTTGTGTCTTTTACTTCTCCCAAAACTTTGGGAGGTAGGAACTTTTTGTGTCTTCGCTGCAAGGAAGTTGGGGCATAGAGAAGGGGTATAAGTTGCTAAGATCTCATAACTTAGTAGACGATAGAGTCAGGGATTTGATCTAGTTCTGGGTGATTTTGATAGAAAGCTAAACCTTAAAGTAATGCCAATAGGTAGTCTTCTACCAAAAATTTACTTCAGGCAAACTAATCATACCACTGTTGACAGCTCATGTTTTTATTACTTCTTCACTTTCTGTTTGTTAAGAGATATGTGTGTTATTTTTAAGAGGAGGGAAGCTCCCAGCAATGAAGATTACTGGTTATGGTCATCTGCCGTCTGTTTAAATTGCTTCGCAGATTATAATGTATTGTTTCACAAGTCGGACAGGTCTGAGCTACCCACATCTGTATTGCTGCACTAGTCACAGCCAGGTCACGTGATGACGTAGATACTCATTGAGGAATGAATAGTGGGGGAGGTGGCTCAGTAGGTGAAGCCCCTGCTGGACAGTATGGGGACCAGCCTTTAAATCCTGAGGACAGAAATAAGTGCTGGTGTACAGTCCAGTGTGCAGGAGGCAGAGACAAGAGATCCCTGGAGCAAGCTGGCTAGCCAGACTAGCTAATGTGGCGAGCTCCTGGTTCAGCAAGAGATGGTTCCATAATGGATGAGATGGACAGCAGTGGGCCAGAAGCTCCCAGTGTCACTCTTGGGCCTCCGTATACATGTGCTCACATGTAAGTTATATCACACACACACGCACACACACACACACACACACGGCATTTAAGAAAGGGTAAGTTCCATCAAGAAGAACGAAAACAGAAGAGGGACTTTGCTAGCTTGGTATCTAAAATGTTCACACCGTGCCAGATTATTTCTAATGTTGTTTGTGTGCATCCAGTGATTTAAGTGCCAGGTTTTGGGATTACGAGTCTTGGATTTATGCGTTTCGGCTATACGCTAGCTTTGTGCCATTGGACGTCACTTTCCTCCTGTGTCAAATGCAGATAGTTGTAGACTGACGTCATTAGGACGCGTGAAAATTGAACAAAGTAATGAATGTCAAACGTTTGAAAAGGATTGGCATTGGGTAGCTTCCTGTGTTAGAGGAAATATTGATTATCCATTTGCTGTGTAACAAAACACCAATACCATGGTCACTGTAAAATAACCAAGCAGTTTGGGCCGGATCGGGCGATTCCTCCGCTTGCATGGACAGAGATGACTCACGTGGCTGAGGTTCACCTTCCGTGTTGACCGGGGTCTCCCTAGAATACGGTGTTCTCTTTCGTGTCTGTGGAGTTGGGGTAGGTTGTCAGCTCTCTTGCGTGTCCTGTGCAGTTAGCTGGGTGTGGTCCAGCAAGCCCAGGATAGCAAGCAGGGAGGGCTCCCCAAGACTGGCGGTTTGCTAGGAGGACCGGGAGCAACAGCGTGTGGCTGTAGCTGTGTACGTGATAGCAAAGGGATAAGACAGCGTCGGTGATGGGGAAAGGCATGGGAATGAAGTCCAGGGAGACCAGACATGGGCTTCCGAATGTCCTTTCCACAGAAGGAAATCAGGTGTTCATCATAAAACAGAGAGTATAAAAACAGCTCAGTGCAGTCAAACAACACTCTTAATCAAAATTCGACTGTTTTAACTCTTGCACAAACCTCTTAAGGTGTGTCCTGAGAATTCTCCTGGTCTCGTAGTCTTCCAGTCACATCAGGTCATAGCTGTTCCAGATTCAGATGGGCAGAAAAGTGAGCCACTCTGGGAACACTGCAGGAATGAGCCCCCCCTCCAGTTCTCCACTTATAGTGCCGTTTTTCTTAGAACAACTATCTTAAAATACAGATGTAATTATTGGTGTCTATGTCTATAATTATAAATTTGCAGAATTTGCATGTCTGTTTTCTGTGAATTCAAAATTGGAGATTGGATTTTTTGTTATTTCAAAAGATTTGGCTTAAGGAAACTAGAGGAAAATATGATTGGGCAGAAATTGTATTCTGTTTTCCTAAATTTAATTAAAAGCAATCTTGGTAAATATGAAATGACCCCTTGTTCACTACTTATTTTTTTTTCTGACCATGCTTTCTTCCACATGTTAAATGTTAATTTCCAATTACAACAAGTCACGTTAACATTGTATTCTGTTCTCCTTTAAGAGCATGTCTGTCTTGGACATGATTAAAGAGTTTAGGAGGAATTGGCGTGCTCTCTGTTCCTCTGAAAGAACGACTTTATGTGGTCCAGACTCCATGCTCCTGGCGCTGCAGCTTTCCATGGCCGAGAACAACAAGCAGGTTAGCAGACTATATTTAGTTCAACTTTTAAAACCTGAATTTTACTCGCTGCCTGTTTTAAAAAGCTTGAGCTTAAGCACGTCACTTTTTGCAGTATTTGCCCTCCTGTAATAGGCTGTTCCAGAAATGCTTCTGCTTATCCGTGTCAAATACTGCAGTGTATGCATCTGAAATGATTTATTAAATTATTTCATGTGTATAATTTGAACATGGGATGTATATATTTGATATTTAATGAAGAAGTCATAAAGATTACATTTGCAACTCTTATGCATATATTATATATATATATTCCTATTTAATATTGTTCCCTTTTTTTTCCTAAAAGAAACTCTAGAGGAGCTCATATAATTTTATTCAATATATTTTATGTCTAGTCTTAGCACTGTTGTGTGAGTTATGTATTCTTAATCAGTTTATGGCTGAAATAAAAATAGGATGCTTATGGTCTTACACCAACGGATAGTGTGTAAGTTACCTTATTTTCCTGCCACTGTGACAAACAGCTGAGGAAGGAGACGGAGACATGAACTTACCGTGGCTCATGGTTTTTCAGGTCCTAATTCAGGCACTTGTCCTTGACCTGTTACTTCACGGTACATGGTCTGGAATAGCATCCTGACAGTGAGACCCTGTGGCAGCCGCTCCTCAACTTGTGATGGGCAGGAGGCAGAGAGAAAGGGACCTTGGATGGAGTCTAGCCTTCAAATTGTGCCCCCAGTGACTTGCTTCCTCCATCTTGGCCCCGTCTCCTAAAGTTTCTAGCATCTTCCAAAGTAGTGTCCCATATTGGAAGCCAGGTGTTCAGTGCATAAATCTATGGGAAACATTTCCTCTTCAAATTCTAACAGTCTTGCCCTTGTATGGAGAGTTGCAAGTTTTCCCTATTTCAACCAGTAAGTATATAGATAATTTCAACACTGACATGCCAAGGTGGATGAGGTGAAATCCGAAAACTTCTTCCCTAGATTAAGAGCATCAGGCAGTCAAAGACTTTTGAGAGCGGGACCATCAATTTTCTTCAGAGGCGAGCTTCTGCATAGCTTGTTCTATACCAAGTGGCTCTCCCTGAACACATGCACACTCAAACAATACTAAATGGATTTATTAGGCTGTGTATACATGTGTGTGTTATCTTTGGGTTTCTATTGCTGCAATGAAACACCATGGTCAAAAAGCAAGTTGGGGAGGAAAGGGATTATTTGGCTTATATTTCTATATTGTTACTGATTATTGAAGGAAGTCAGGGCAGGATCCTGGAAGCAGGAGCTGATGCAGAGGCCATGGAGGGTGCTGCTTAGTGACTTGCTTCCCCTGGCTTGCTCAGCCTGCGTTCTTATGGAACCTAAGACCAGCAGCCCAGGTGTGGAATTACCCACAATTGGCTGGGCCCTCTCCCATCAGTCACTAAGGAAGGAAATGCCTGTCAACTGGATCTTAGGGAGACATTTTCTCTACTGAGGTTCCCTCAGATAACTGTAGTTTGTGTGTCAAGTTGACAGTCAACTAGCCAGCACTTATGTACATGAAACAATAATAAAGATGAGATCATGAATTTGGGGGTGCACTGGAGGAGTTAGGGCAGGAATAATGTACATGTAGTATTTATATATGACATTCTTAAAAAGAGGTGTAATTCTAACACTTCTCATTTCATTCTTGTGAAATATGACCCATGTCCATAAGAGAACTAAAGAACTGGACAGTTTGAACTTGCTCCATACATTGGTCAGCTGGCTGTTCTCATAGCAAGCAAAACATTGTCTGAATCATAGAATATTATGTCTTGATTGGCACCTAATGAAAAACTAATGTCAGGAATGCATTTTTATTTCGCTTTAAAACAGTTTTTTTTTACAGTCTTGGTATGAACCCTTTTAATCTAGTAATAGACAAGATCATGAGCTTACATAATTTTACTTCAACTATCTCTAGTCAACAGAATGAGAATAAGTTGTATGTTTACTTTAGTGAGGAAAACTTATGTTTTTCTAAGTATAAAGGATTGTCATACTAGTAATAATTTTAGAAATTTCTGAGAAAAAAAATTTAGTGTTGAAATTCACTGAATTTGTTTTATATTACTTAAAGTGTATTTACGATTATAACCTTAAGGGAGTAGGAAGTATTAAAATATCTCATTTTTGATGTGGTGCTGGGAAGTTATCTTATGTTTGGGTTGTGGTAAACCTTGAGAGTTAATGGTAGGGGTCATTGGGTAGTTAGCTTCATATATTACAGTTGACTTAAATATTTGTGATATGGCAGGCCTCTATTTTAAGACAATAGGGCTAATTTATCGTCTCAGTATGAGTAAATAAACAATTAAGTTTTATTTTTTATTTTTTTAAACATTTATTTATTTATTATGTATACAATATTCTGTCTGTGTGTCTGCCTGCAGGCCAGAAGAGGGCACCAGACCCCATTACTGATGGTTGTGAGCCACCATGTGGTTGCTGGGAATTGAACTCAGGACCTTTGGAAGAGCAGGCAATGCTCTTAACCTCTGAGCCATCTCTCCAGCCCAACAATTAAGTTTTAAAAGGCATTTTAATCATGTTTTAAATCTGGATCTCAAATAAATAATAAAAGATAAATAAATAATAAAAGATAGAGATTTTTAATAATTCAAGTATATATAAGAATGTATGTTTTGAATGTATTGATTGCTCTGAATTATTCTTGATTAAGTAAGATTTAGTCCCAGACAACAACAGTCGCTAACTATGTCGTTACTATCCACCTTTGAAAGGAACTAGAGTAAGTCATAGTGTGAGCAGAAGCTGGGAGAAACTTCACCGTGGAAGCCCACACATGTTACATTTCACAGACCCACATATGGATACCCAAACATATTTGTTATTCATGCTGAAAATGAGAAGTCAGAACTTTTTAATGAGTCAAGACTGGTGTTTTTGGGAGGCGCCATTGCTAATATCTTGCATATTATGTGGAGAAAATGCATTGAATATAGAGCAAGCCTTTTGCCTGTCCACTGAAGATGTATCACATGGCTGCCCAGGGAGACACCTCAAGGAAAGCGGTGCAGGAGGTGACTGTTGACCTGCACCTGTAGGAGGGCTGTTGGGTCAGGGTGGTCAGATCACTGTCTTTGGATTTCTTTCATATACATCAAACAGAAGCCAAACCGTAACAGAATAAATTTGCATCTGAGTGCTCATAGAAGCATAACTTCATTTTCAGTACTTAGTTATTATAATTTAGTGTGTTTAGGGCCAGGGAAAAAACAAAAATCTTTCCAGACCCTGAGTTTTGCGCCGATCCCTTTCTTTCTCTGTAATAACAAAACATAGGTCATAACAATGGTGACCTGAACACTATGGCTGAGTTTTAAAGCCAGCACTTGGAATATATGCTGTTGTGTGGGATTCCTCATGGCACTGGGGATATAGACAAGAGATTGAAACACTTTAACTCAGCGCAGTTGCTTGTGCACCCATCCTTTTACTGTGGGTAAAAGATGCAGTGGAGTTTGAAGGTCGAACCATGGATTATGCACTTATAAAATTTTTATTTTATTTTTTGTTTTGTTTTGTCTTTCAAGACAGGATTTCTTCTGTGCTCCTCTGCAACTTGCTCTGTAGACTAGGCTAACTTCGAACCCAGAGCTTCTGCTGTCTCCGCCTTCCAAGTGTCGGGACTATAGGTGTGCTTCACCATGCCCGACCCCATTCACCATATTTTTTTTATTTGCAGACTTGCCTGCTGTATATATTTTATCAACTTCTCAAAACTTTATGCTTACTATAAACACATGCTATTTGTATTTCTCTTATCAGTTATAAGCCACTGCATAAATACGTCTAAGTATTAAGCACTCAAATTTGTCATTTTCTTCCTTCCTTCCTTTCTTTCTTTCTTTCTTTCTTTCTTTCTTTCTTTCTTTTTTCTTTCTGCATCTCCTTCAGCACAGTGGAGAATTTACAGTCTCTCTCAGTGACGTCTTACTGACATGGAAATACTTCTTACATGAAAAACTGAGCTTGCCCACTGAGAGCATGAAAGCGGTTGACCACTATGAAGACATTAAGAAAGCATACGATGATTTCTTGAAGAATAGTAATATGCTAGATCTGATTGATGTCTATAAGAAATGTAGCAACTTGGCCTCCAGCTGTGAGAATACCATGATATCCTCTGTAAGTATTTTAAAAAGAATTCTACTCTAATCAAATTAAAGTTCAGCTCTATTACATTTATTTTACAGTATAGAGTTACTAGTTTAAAAAATATGGTGGAGGGCAGAGGCTGTATTCTTTGTTTTCAGTAGTAATGTACTGGGTAGAAGCAAAAGGTAGAATAAGTTGATTTTTTTTTTTTTTTTTACTTTTTAAAGCCTATTAAAAATGGAAAGATACCTGAAGGCTAGTTTTTACTTGAAAGAAATATTTTTGGTAAGTTTTGTTGGTCTTGTGATATTGTTATTTAATATAAGAAAAATCTTGTTAATGTATAAAAATTTGACAAAGAAATTAAGTTCCAAATGTCAGGTTTCTATCGAATTAGATTAAAAATTGCCTGTCTACAACTTTTTCTTCCTTGTTGAATGTACATTTATTTATTTGGTGTGTATTGTATAAAGTGATTGTTTTAATATCTTTTTTTTAGACAGACATGTGTATATCACTTAGATAATAGAATGATATAATGTCTATGAGGTAATAGGCTTCATTGTGTGAGCATATTTATTTTTAATCGAGTATAAGTTTAGAAGCTATAGTGTTCCTTAGCTTCGTTTGTATTAGAATTGATTGACAGTTTTATAATCTGTTTGTCTATGTGCAGGTTTTATTTTTTGAGTGTTGAAAGTACTTTAATATTTTCTGTGTGCAAATAAAGAAGTAAAGGTTGATAATGGCAGAGTAATTATAGCTGGACTTAGGAACTATTCACTGTATCTCATATGATAATTGGGAATAGTATTTAAGTTTATTGTAATAGAAATCTATACTATAAAAATGTACTTAAAGAAAGTAGTTCGTTTCATTCCCCTATAAATGGCCAGAGGTAGCTGTTGAGGTTCCAACCGGCTGTGTTCCTTGTAGGAGGCGGTAGGGCTGGAGGATGGCGCTCTTCTTTTAAGGAAAACAACTCTGTTATTCACTCTCATTGCTTACAGCTTGGTTGAAGGGCTGTGGTCTTTATTCAGAGTAGAAGGTGCCAAGGTGACAGCCACCATTCTTTAAGCAAGAATGGACATTGGGCAGCTTGTGGCCTTTTCTCAATTCGTGCATTCTACTGACTTCTGCCTTGTTATAGCTTCTTCAAACGCACATCTTTGGTGTCTACATGCAACACCTTGGAAGATGACTTTGTAGATTTTCCTGCTTATAAGGCTGATTTTTGACTAGCTCTCCATAGGTAACGTATAGAGCTAGTCATATTAAGCACTGAGCTGTAGAAATGACAATGGTGGCATGTCTGATACCTTGGTCACGTTATCCCCCCCTTGCTTTCTCCTCCTTGGGTTCTCTCCCTCTGGTCCACGTTGTGTGGAGACCTGTAACGGTTCTTTGCAGGCTAGCTATTTGGGAGATTGTCTGCAAATGTTAATGTGTCTCTGGAGGACACCAAAAATCAGCCAAAGCTGCCAAGAGGTAGCTCGTGAAGAAAACTCTGGAATTCTAAAGCTGTCTCTGATATTTAGGTTTTCTCCAAGGAACTTTCCCCTAACAACAAAATTATACAGCAAAACATACTTTGGGTTGACTTTTTTTTATTTTTAACCAAAGTGTGTTAAATGTAACCCTAATTAATTTGTATTGTGTCTTTAAAGTTAGGTATCAGAATACTCCAAATGGTCCTGATTTTCATGCTCTTGAATCTTCATGGCCTTCATAAAGTTACTTTGTTTCTTATTTGTTGGAGCTTAAGTAATGCAGAGATTATTGGGAATTAAGATAAAGATGAGGTAGTTCTGGGAAGGTGGTAACTTGAACCTTTACTCCCTAGTTTATTTCCTCTCCATCCGGGAGCACAGAAGGCTTTGGATTCTAGCTGGAATATCAAGGAGAGAGAGCTGGGACAGATTGGGTTTTTCATGACGTTAAAGTATGTGGACCGCCATATCAGAGGCTATGACCAGCTGAAGTGTAGCTCTCAGAAGAACTTAGGCCCAGAGTTCTGTGGATCCTCTGGGCAAGATCAACAGTTGCTATCTGTGGGTGGGCAGGGTGTCCCAAAAGAAGACATTTGCTGGCGGTATCTTGTGAGTGACGTCAGCAAGGGCCAGCACAAGCTTGCGCACGCCCCAACTGTCGAGGCTGCCCGGAAGGCACTAACGTTGAACTCAGGGTCCAAGAGCTCTTTTATCCTGATGAGGCCACGCTTAAGACAACACGGGACTCCCGAGGAAGCTACCCTTAGCTGTGGCCAGAGACCGGCGGGCGCACTGAACCTTTGTGAACGGAGTGCGGGAAGTGGACTCCTGATGTCTTCATGCCTTTCCCAGGGCACCCGCACCCACGCGGCCAAAGTCAACGCCGCAGCCGCAGCCGCCTCTCGGAAACGGAAGCCGATTTCCAGAGCTTCCAAGCGGCCCTGTGGGCGGTTAAGGCCCTGCCAGGATCTCTCTGCTCCCGCGGAAGAAGCTTCTGTGTCAGCTCCCTCGACCCAGCGTCCTCGGCAGAAGCAACAGTCTCTTGCAGCCATGTCTGAGAGCTCAACATTTCCCAAGGTTTTCCACAAAACCCGCAGCAGGAGACGAGACCCGAGGAAGCTGGCAGCCGCCATGGAGCGGGTGAGGCAGTGGGAAATTCGCCTGCTTCAGAACCTCGAGGAGGCCTCGCAGCACCACCTCACCGTCGAAACCGAGAATAAGAGACCTGTTCAGTTCAGTGCAGAAGATCCGCCAGGGGCCAGCTCCCATCTCCACGCAGGGCACGGACTTTTGCCATTCTGGACACATGTCCACTAAATTCGAAGCTGGCAATACTCTTATAAATGATTGTACCACTCACTTTATCCAAAACACTTGTTCTTTATTGTAAAACTGTTAAGCACCCTAACCTGCCGGCGCCATCCTTCCTCTCCTCTTTCCCTCAGCCCCTCTTCAGGGGTAGGGGCAGGGGTGCCGGCTCTTCTCTGAGATGCTAGAGTAGACCCAGAAAACACCGTGACTGGGAGACACTGAAAACTTTGTTGGAAGAACAACGTCCACTAGATGCCAAGGGCATATATGGTCTGGGACGTTCCAGGGGCAGGAGAGATTTATTTTTAAACTTCAGGTACAGCAGAAAGTTCTCCCTCCAGCTCCTATCAGTTTAGAGGCATGTTTTGAAGGGTTACCAACATTGGGACACCCAGGAAATCCACCACCAATGGGCATGAGGCTGGCTGACAGCTGCAGTTACTGGGCTAGCACAGCATTTCCGCGGCTCCAGTCGTGTCTGTGGTGGGAACTCACTGTGTAAGATGCCTCAGCATTTGGAACCTTTCTGAACTTCCTCCTGTGTGAACGACTGTTCAGGTTATAAAAATGATAGAAGTCTTTTAACTTGTCAAATAAAACATAAAAATATAAAGACACAAAAACTTACTACGTAACGACATAAAGGCAAATACTTCCAAGTAATTCCTTCTAATTTGTATGAAAAATAAACTGTTTTCTTGACAACTCAGAGAAAAATATGAGGAAAGATTTCGCAATACAGAAGACTTATTGACACAAAAATTAATATCCTAACAAACAGTGAATTTTAACATGTGAGAGTTAGAGCTGCAGGTCCTGCCACGAAGATGCTAATAGTCCCAGAAGGGAAAACACCTGAAGGTGTAACTAAATAAAGACGTATATGTCATAGGAAATAGTACCGTTAACTGAAGAGAAATCTAAGTTCTAGGCTATATTAATGAGAAAAGATACATCGATATGAGCTGATAAAATTCCTGTATTCTTAAATATTATAAATTTATTTAGTTATAAGTTATTATTGAATTATAATTTAGATATGTTTGTTATGAGCAAAAGATTAAATAGAATGTTCCTTCCCAACCATAGCAATTATTTTTATCATTCATTTAAAAGGGTTTGTGAGAATATGCAAAATTATGCAGAGGAAAATGTTCTGCTTATTTATGATTATCCACAAATGTCAAGCAATACTTTGTCCTGGAGCCTCCGTGACACTCACTGTGCAGAATCTTATATAACATACGGTTCTGATTCCTGTGACCTCCATTATACCATGTATTGTTTACAGAGCCAGCTGCGGGACTTTCTGTCTGGCACCCAGTGCGCAGTACACGATGAGAGTAGTCCTCAGGTACCTGCATCCCCAGTGAAGCACAGCCGGGAAGATGAGCAGGTACCGGTTCATTCAGTCGGTTACCAGGATGTGACTCCCTCAGATCATCCGTCTGTTGGTTCACTGCGGTTATCCTTGTTTTGTTTTTTGTTTTTCTTTTTTCCACATTTTAAAGTTGTTTAAATAAAGCTGAATCCGCAAAGGATAATACATTGGGACTCGCGAAGGTCATCTTAGTTTGCATCTTCACAGTCTGGTCCAAGGCAGCCAACCGGCACTGAGCGAGTACAGGCACAGCCTAAGTGCCAGAGAGGTGGTTATGTTTCAGATTGTCAGGTTGATGGTTTTTAACTTTCTATTAATTAAAATTCACATCTGCTGTTTTAGATGGTTGATTCTTGAGAGGACATGCTCCGTAACTGATAATGTTCTTGTGGCAGGGTGTATTGTGCATGCCACTCCAACTAATGAGGTTTATCTGCCCGTAGCTGAGTATTATACTACGTACCTGTCGCCTCAGCCAACCATGAGCTGGGTTTATGAAAGTTTCTATGTTTAATAGAATCACCATGGTGAGAGTTTAAGAATGTTGGCAAAATCAGTAAAATTTTGTTGAATGTGTTTTTGAAATCTACTTTCATGGCCATCTAGTCCAGTAAGGTTACCACATTTGATGAGTTTCCCTGGTAAGTTGTCAGGAAGCGGTGCTGAGACCCTCGCTGCTTCGCTAAGGCTTGCTCGCCTCCTGGATTTAACAGTGCACTTGGTTTTCCTCCAGTGCTTCCTTTTTCCTGTCTTGTTTAGGGTTACCCAGGCCCTGTGCCGTGTGTATGCCTGGAACTCTTGTGTGAATGAAGGATAAGCACGTGTCTGGTTTCTCTGATTTCCTAAAGTAGTTACGTGTCTCTGTGGACTCTTTTAGTCTCAAGGATTCCCTAATTTTATTTTTTTCCTTTGTCTACTTAATGCTCTACTGTCCCTAAATTTGTTGTGTCTCTGATTAAAAGCTGTAAGTTAATATTTAGTGTTACTATTTTATAAAAAATACTTTGTGACTGATATGAAGTATTTCGTTTTGTGTTACCCTAGGAAACAGAAATTCAGGCTGTCCTGAACTGGCAGATCTCTCTAGTATAAAAATTAGTTCCCACTTTGCTGTCATCACCAAACACCTGTGCGAAGGTCCTCTGCTTTGCAGCAGCAATCCTGTCTCCCAGCAACCATTTACCTAATGGGTTCTTTTAATACATGCCGTGATGATCCTTGCCTGAATCAACTGTTGCTTTTTTTTCCCAGCATTTGTAGAACCCTGAGTTTTTTTTTTTTTTTATTTGTAATATCTTCATTAGTCACCTTCAATGACCAGAGCTTTATCCTGTATCCATATGGTCTCAGGAAGGGCTGGGATTTCACTGTATCCATAGGGTCTCAGGAAGGGCTGGCACTTCACTGTTTCCATATGGTCTCAGGAAGGGCTGGGACTTCACTGTATCCATAGGGTTTATTTAGGAAACACTGAGAGTGACTTGAGGTGTAGCTAAGTGGTAGAACAGTGCTTAACCTGTAACTGGACTCCATCCCAAGCCCATGTGAACAAGTGTGGCGCACATACGCACTCACACAAAATAAAAAATGGCGGTTTCTTTCTTGAGTTATATTTTCTTGCCTCGCTATGTTCTACTTATTAAGTATATACTTTCTATAATCATGATGTTTCAGGGGAGACATAGGCAGTCAGCAATAGCAGGCAGCTTTCAACCATCTTTTAGGGTGACAGAGAGAGAGCTTCTATAAAGTCTGATGAAGGCTTCATTTAACACTGTGGACAGGCCAATGTTCCACACTAAGCTTAAGGTTTCAGACTGCCCCTGACTTTCAGGAAGTGGATAAAAATGGCAAAACCACCAGTCTGAAGACGACAGTATGGGAAGGACCCACTGTCCTGAGCCGGCACGCCATCTCTGACACTCCTAAAGCCAGTTTCAGGGAGTCAGGCCCTAATCTGCTCTTAAGGGCGTTCTTTGCTGATGCAAGAAGGGGGAAGAAGGCACAAAAGTGAATATGCCCACATCCCAAGGAATTTGTGTCAAGTGAGCAAGAGAGTCTCAGGATGAGCAGGAAGGGGAGGCTCTCCTGCACATCAGTCAACTTTGGAAACATTGTTAGGAATGCACGTGTCCTCTGCCACAGCGGCGAAGGGTTCTGTGTGCTAAACAGACTACTTTTGATAGAACTTGATGTTAAAAATACTTTTGCATACTGTTCAGACTCCAAAAGCCACACAGTTCACACTGGCACCGCCAGACCCCTCAGCTGGCTGTGCCTTCTCAGTTTCCACACGTCCGTGATCTGCAGAGCTGGTTCCATCCCTGCTGGCATCATCTTCCCTCTCTCGAGGGTGCTTTGTCTCCTTTCTAGGACCCTTTAGGCTCATGCCTAACTGATACGGCATTTTTAGAAGTCTGCATACTTAAAATTCTAACGTGACTTTGGGGGGGGGCATATATACCTTGGAGAGGTGTGTTCTGATTGTCAAGTACATTTCTTAACGGCACATCAGAATCTTCTCATGGAACTGTAAGATCACTTTAAGAATACTCTTTATTTTCTTATTTTATTTTACTCTTATTTTCCCCCTAAGGTGTTAAACTGTTGCTTAAACTGACCATTAAGCAAATAAAAAATGTATCAGTGTATTAGTTCTAGTCCAGTCATTTGCTGTTATTCACAAGCATTTATGTCTTAGCAAGGAAAGATTTTAATGAGGAAATCAGGTAAATTTTTTGTGGTTGTTAAAAACCTTGATTTCAGATTAAGGCTGGATATTTGCATCTTAGTAGGATTTGCAGGAGAGTGGAATGAGCGCGAAGCAGTCACGAGTTAATAAAGTTGTCCAGCTCGCAGAAACTGCAGGTACTTTGTAGTGTGGATAGAATCCGGTATTAACCAAATAGATCAGTTCTCAATTTTTGGTGCTGTGCTAAAGCCTTCGTCTTGGGATTCCTTCAGTTTGCGTCCCTGCTTCTGGATGTCGTAATTGCATTTATGGACTGCTTTTCCAAGGAGCCTTTTAAATACTAACTTGCACATACAAGAGCACAGAAACCATAACTGCCATGTTATCTGACCATAATGAGAGGGAGGCAGGTCCAGCTGCAGCCAGAGTTTCAAGAAGCCCTTCCTCTGTGAGGACTCCAAGATACTTTCCCCAGTGTTTGCCCAGCGGCCTGGATCAGAGAAGCAGGATCTGCGAGCCTTAAAGAGCAAGTAGTAGGTGTGGGTGCTTAAAGGTTGGCTTTATATATATATATATGTATATATATATATATATATGGCTATATATATATATAATCTTCCTCCCCATCCCTACTTTTTCTTTCCAATTATATCTGTGTGTGTGTGTGCACGCACGTGCGCGCACACATGTATTTAAGTCCACTGAGTCCACATAGTGCCGCCTCTATGAGCACGGTGTAGGAGCATCCACTGGGCATGGGCAGCCCTGTAAGGGCTGCATCCCTGAGAATGACTCTTCCCAAGCCCTCAGGTGTCGCCAGTAGCTACTCAGCTGGGGTGGAACTTGCATGGGAGTAGCTTCTGCGTGCAGCTTCTGCTCCTGATGAAGGCTGCCCTTCTTTATTGTGGTAGGACTCTTGTCAGTCAGGCGGGCAGCTTTAGGAGGGACACACGAGGTGTGTGTGTGTGGGGGGGGAGGTCCAGCTAGCCAGGGGAGCTGAGGCAGCCCTGTGAGCAGGGCATTACCATCCCTCCCCCTTACCTCCCTCTCAGGGTTAATCTTTGGGTGCTGTTTTCTTTTTCTTTTGATGTTTTTCTTCCTTTTTTTTTTTTTGTTGTTGTTTGTTTTTGAAAAGGGCCTACTATGTAGCCCTGGCTAGCCTTGAAAGTCGTGTGAGCCAAGCTTGCCTCGAATTTAGAGATCTACTTGATGACTAAATCTAAGTGCTGGGATTAAAAGCCTGTGCTACTGCCTGACCCTAATTTTGTTAACATTTTATCTAAAGTCTATAATTTCAGTAAGCTTACCTATCCTATGAAGTTTTTTTTTCCCTTTATTTTTTGTTTTTGTGAGGCTTGGTCTCACTGTAGCTCAGGCTGTCCAGGAATTCATTATGTAGTCCAGGCTGCCCTGAAATGCCCAGTAATTCTCCTGCCTCAGCTTCCCAAATGCTGGGAGTTAGAGTTGAGCCACCATGTTGGTTGGACACTGATTAAGGTGTTTTTTCTTTTTATTAATTATGAGTGCTTCTTAAGTCCAAAAATTTATTTTATATTTGCATATTTAAGTAAACCAAAGCTTATCTTTAAATTTTCTTTTAAAATGTACATTAATTTAGGATCTGCTTACTTACTATTGACCTGAAGAGTCTTCGTAATGATTTTGTTTTTTATCTATTCAATTTTCGCTTACAGTTCAACATTTTTAATGTGGGAAGACAGAACAGATACAAATTAGTTAAAATAATTTTTATTCATTCTCTGGCAATTTTATATATGCTCTCTTAATTACTGTTCTATTGCTGTGAAAGACGTTCTATGGTAAAGATAACTTATGGAGACTAAACAGTTTTCCGTTGCAGAGGGTTCGTCCATTACCATCATGGCAGGGAGCATGGCGCTCAGCAGCCATGGCCCAGAGTAGTAGCTGGGGGCTTATGTGTTGAGACAACCACCAGGAGGCAGAGAGACAGCTAAATGGCAATAGTATGAGCTTTGGAAACCTCAAGCCCTGTGCCCTCCCCTCCCCACCAGTGACATACCTCTGCTAACACATAATCCTTCCAAAACATATCTACCAACCAGGGGCCAAGTATTCAAATATATGAGCCTGGGCTGGGGTGGGCTTCTCATCCAAACCCCCAGAAATGCACATGATGCATTTTTAAAATATTCATTCCTGCTCCCCTCTCTTAACCTCCTTTCTTAACTTATCCCCCTCCTAATTTCATGCATTTAAAAAATAACCTATTGAGATTAGTTATGGCCGCTTGCCTGGTCATTGGTATATGGTTATTTACCAGGGCTCGTCTGACTCCAGCGGCTGGTACCTGCCGACAATTCCTCAGCTGGGGCGGGAGTCGTCTGTGTCCCCCTCGTCACGGTACTGGAGTGCTGGGTGGTGCAGGTCCTGTGGAGATAACCACCGTTCCTGTTAGTGCGCGTGCTCCGAAGATGGCTTCACACTCTTGCCTTCTTCTCAGGCGACAGCCTTCTGCTGGTAGCCTGCATAGCACTTTCTGGAGCTAGGAAACCTAGCAAGTGGGTCGGTTCTGATTTGATTACTCCATGCCCTGCAACCAAAGCATGCTGTGTCTTCAGCAGCAGGCTCCGTTTATCTACTTCTGGTAGGCAACCAGAAACAGTGGTGGTAGCCTGTAAGTTTTGGGAGGTTGGGCCAACAGTCCACAGGGGGCCATTCCACCTTTTACACTGGGCTAAGAAAATTGAAAGAAAATACTTTCTTAGAGTTTGGAGGGCAAATGTATCTGAATTTCCGGTGTTCCTGAAGTACTTAAGACTTGAGCTCAGCCTGAAAATCTGTTATCTGCGGGAAAGATTGCAGGCGGACTATGTGAGAGCGAGAACTAGAAACAAACAAGCCCAGAGCTGTGGGAGGTAGTCATAGTTGAAGGGAGAGGAACACAAAGACAGTCCATAAAAGGAGTTTGGTTTCTCTGAGATCTAGTTGTTCTTTCTTTCTCCCCACTCCCCCGAATGTGCTTTGGCTGTCAAATCTAAGTTCTCTGCCCCACTCTAGGATTTAAAGATTTTCTCCTATGTTTTGTTCTAAAGGTTGCCTTACTATATTGTACATTTAAGTCTGTGGTCCATTTTGAGTTAGTTTCCATAAAAGGTGTGAGCTTTTGGTTGAGGTTCATTTGTCTTCGTGTGGATGTTGGAGATCTGTTGTCCCAGTCCCAGTGATGGCACTGGATTTTGTGTTTCTGTTGCCGTGGCTTTGTCCATCTGCTTCTGGATTCTCTTCAGGTCCCCCCGGGTGGTGTATATGTCTTTTTGGAATACACTTCCCTGTCTTGCTTACTATAGCTTTGTAGTAATTCTTAAGATTTTTTCCATATATTTAATGTTTCCATATAACTTATGTATTTCTTAATAAATCTGTTAATGCTCCCAAAGGTCAATGTCAACACTAAGTGTCAATGTTTTCTAAACATTTGTTTTATTCATTTTGATCTTTAGTTATTAGATAATGTCAGTTGCTCTCTGGTAGTTCTCAAGACTTAAGTATTTCGTTCGAGCTGTGTGTCTGGTGTTGGGATATAGACTTGGGGTCCAGGGATCAGACGGCTCCCTCTCTAAGGTTCTGGAAACTTTATCTTCAGCCGTTATTTCCTGGCAGGCATATGCAGATGAATAAGATGAAACCTCAGCAGAAAGGCCTCTATGAACTATCTTTTATATCATGTTGAAGAACAATTTTCCATTAATCATTGTTAATATTTTCTTGTTATTAAGTTCATTACTGTAAGAAAATTCAAGTTATCTAACTTGGCTATTCTTTTTGCCTAAAAATGAGATGCAGAATTGCGATTACAGATTCTGTGTATTCTTCCTGAATATAGAACAGAGGTTTAGAACAGCTGAAATAAAGAAAATAACGGAATACTTTACTGTACAGGTACGGATACTGGTGAAGAAAATTTTCTTTTCCTATTTGGGCCTGCTAGTGAATTCAAAGAATGACTTGGCTCTGGCTCAGGTTCTCAACATCCCTGATCGAGGACTGGGGAGAGAGGCCTTCACCACCTTGAAGCATGCTGCTCGAGAGAAACAGCTGTCCATGTTTTTGGTATGGATGCTTACACTTTCAGGACTGTTTATAACTCCTTGAGCAGTGACCTTTAATGTAGATTTCTTGTAATTATAATGAAACAATTTTAAATAGTTAATTTATATTTTACCTCTGCATTTGAAAATCCATTGCTTTTTTTTTTTTATCTTTTCCTGTGTCTTCCAAGTTTAGCAAAGGGGGATTTCTCTTTAGCAGTATTCTCTACATAATTATATATTATATGCTGTTAGCCCTAATAAATAACTATACAATATTTCTCTTCTTCCTTTTTCCTTTCTTTTCTTTGTGGTTTTTTACTATGTGGCCCAAGTTGCCCTCAGACTCTTAGTCCCCTGGCCTCTGTCTCACAAGTGGTGATACATGATAAATGTGTATCACCGTGCCTGGCTTTGATAAACTCTTCTTGAGTAAGTGTTTCCAATGGTAGAGTCTTCAGAGATTGGTTACACAATGCGTACACGCATATCAAGGGCCGTGGGAAGTCCTTCACTGAAGTAACGCCCTCATGTCTTACGAACAGCCTTGTTACTTCCTTTGTTGCTCTTCCTCAAACTATTGACCACAGAACTTCCCCACAAATTACTGATAGTCCATAATGTGCCTTTCTTAGGATAATTTGGAAGATACTGTTTGAGAACATGGTATCTTTTTGATGGAGATGTTCTTGGGGATAGCTATCAAATATGCATTTTTCTCAGTGTAAAGATAGGACTTTTACCTGCTTATCCTGGATGTAAAAACTTGCTGGAATCCAGTGATTATCCAGTATGAGTCTTGTTTCTCAGCAAAGGTGAAGTGAAGGTTTGGACCCATGTAAACCAGAGTCATTGGCATTGAAAGTGAATTCTTCTACGTGATGACTTCAATAGCCAATTAGCCATATAAGTGAATAGTAGTGATCTGCTCTTAAGGTATGACTGTTCCTTCATCCTTGCTCCAACATTGCCTTAGCATCTCAGCCTCACCCTGTCTATCTAGCACGAAGTCCACATGGCACTCATTCCTGTGATTATTTACTCCTCAGAATGTGACATGATCCATAAAACGTTCTTCAATGTAACCATATACCTAGGCTTTATTAGCTATATTGTAATTTAACTTCCATCTTCATTCACAGATGGCCACCTCGTTTATTAGAACACTAGAGCTTGGGGGGAAGGGATATGCCCCGTCCCCATCCGATCCTCTGCGGGCACATGTAAAAGGGCTATCTGACTTCATCAATTTCATTGACAAGTTGGATGAAATTCTTGGAGAAATAAGAAATCCAAGGTAATAATTTATAAATTATAAATGTTTGTTGTTAATCTGTCTTTAAAAGTTTACAGAATCAGAGGTAGGAATGAAGGGAATATGGAAATCACCAAACATCAGTATGAAGCCTAGGTAAAGAAACAAAATATCAAACTAAATAAATCATGGCTGCATAACCTTCCTCTCCAAATTTCTGCCTTGCTATGATACTATTTTTTTTGTGTGTGTGTGGAAGCCAAAAGTTGTGCTCAAACTAAATTTGTTTAGTGAAGATGATTATTATTTAACTCTATATATGGAAGAGACAAATTTTTCAGAACTGGAGGTGACCAAGTAATTTCTTTTTTTTCTTTCTTTTTTTTTTTTTAAAGTAATTTCTTTAAAGTGTTTATACTTAGCAGTAATGGAAACCAATACTAAGAATGAGGAGGGAAATTGGGTTTTTCTATTTTTTTTCTTTTTTTTTTTTTTTGTATTTTTAAAGACAGTGTTTCTCTGTGTAATAGTCCTGGCTGTCTTGGAACTTGCTTTGTAGACCAAGCTGGCCTCGAGCTCACAGAGATCCGCCTATCTCTGCCTCCTGAGTACTGGGCTTCAAAATGTGCACCACCACCGCTAGACTATTTTTTAGTTTTTTTTTCCATCTGCAAATCTTTTATCTAGTATTTGTTTATGTGATATTAGAGGTAAACATTCTTTTTAAATTTCATAGACTTCCATTTATAGTGCAGATATGTTAGCTGTTTGGTTTGTAGTAATTTTAGGGGGACTGGGCTAGACCTGTTAAAAATTGTGAATTGCTATTATTTTGATTGGTGCGCCACCATAGCATTGTTCAAATAAAGTAGCTGATATTTACTCAACATTTTTTTTTCATTGAACATTGTATTGAACTCTTTTGTGTAGATTATTACGTGATCAGTATAAGGTCTCACATGGTAGATAACATTACTATCCTTGGTTTAGAGATGAGGTGACCCAAGCATTGGGATCAGTCTATTTACCCTGGATGGCATAGTCAGTTAGCAGCAGAGCTTGGCCTTGGATTAGTCCAGTCAGTCACGGATAGACATTTCCAGCAGGCTTTCTTTGACCCCAGCCAGCTCCCGAATCAAGCCATGGAGACTTTTTATCAGTCCCCCTAGCTCGTACAACTTAAATTAATCAGTTTCTCTTCATCCACGCTTCGCCTCAGGGATTTTTATATTTTTTTCATTTTGTATGCTGTACTCTGTGTCTGTCTTTCTGGCAGCTGCCTGGCTGGCTGGCCCCAAGCATCTCCATCATTCTCTCTCTCTTCTCTCTCTCTTCTCTCCTCTTCTCTTCTCTTCTCTTCTCTTCTCTTCTCTTCTCTTCTCTTCTCTTCTCTTCTCTTCTCTCTCTCTCTCTCTCTCTCTCTCTCTCTCTCTCTCTCTCTCTCACACACCTAGATTCCTCCTCCAACTTATTCTCTCTGCCTGCCAGCCCCTCCTATCCCTCTACTGCCTCGCTATTGGCCATTCAGCTTTTTATTAAACCAATCAGGTGCCTTAGGCAGTCAACACATCTTTATGTAATTAAACAAAGGCAACAATCTTTACTTAAATAAACAAATGTAACCCACCTTTACATAGTTAAATATTTCTCAGCAGACTTTCTTTTATGTCATCCTGAGAAACATCTTCCCAAGAATCAAATTCCATATTTCTTTTTTTTTTTTTTTTTTTTTTTTTTTACTTAATGTATGTGTAAGCCTGTGTGGATGAAATGAATCACATTTGTGTCATGACATGGGAATAGAGGCCAGGGGACAACCGACAAGAGTTGGTCCTCCAACATGTGGGTCCCAGGGATTGAACTCTGTAGTGATATTTCTTTCGCTTTTTAATAAATAAAGCTTGCCTGAAGATCAGAGAGTAGAACATCCACTCTGGTCAGCCCCACACACCTGTAATCCTAGTAGCCGCATGTTCACCATAGAAGCTGGGTGGTGGTGGTGCACACCTTTAATCCCAGCCCTAGAGAGGATATAAAACAGGAGGAGGCAGTTCTCAGCTCAGTCTCATTTTGAGATTCCTGGAGGCAGGGTCGCCATTTTCGGTCTGAGGTAGAAGTAAGAGCCAGTGACTGGCTGCTTTGCTTTTATATTCTGGTTGAACCCCAATATCTGGGTTTTTATTATTTGTGCTACAGAACTCAGGTTGTCCAGCTTGGCAGCAAACATGTGTACCCACTGAGCCAACCTCAAATTCCATGCTTTAAAGGATTTTGTTCTGAATCGCATTGTATCTCATATGGGTATCTATAATATAAGAGCAGGAATGCGGATGTGAGCATTTGTATTCAGAACCAAGAGTAAAAAGGAAGTGAGGCCATAGTGTCAAACCTCAAGAGCTGCCCCAGTGAACCACCTCCTCAGAGAGGTTTGCAGCTTTCCCAAAAAGCTCCACCAGGTGGGAACCAAGTGTTCAAATGTGAACCTAAGAGATATTTCACTTTCAAATCCCCTACTTTTTTCTTTTGATTTGTTTCCTATTTATTATTCATCAATTAGTTATCAAGCTTGACAAATTTTGTGTTAATATTGGTTTCTCTACCAAATCATCCCTTGCCCTTGAAGACAGAGTTTCTGTCACCGTTTACCTATTACCTTGGCCGACTAGGCGTGCCTCAGAGTGGTCGCAGGCACCTTCATCAGTACCTCGCGGGTTTTCCTTGCCCCCGCCCTGTCCTCTGGACCTCATGGCTCTGTTTTCCATTGGTGAGCTCTTCTCGCTCAGACAGTTTTATTTTTAAAGCCAACACGTGGACGAGGGCGTGACTCAGCAGACGAGGGCGCCTGCTGTGAATACCTGATGACCAAGTTCTGTGCCTGCACCTGAGTAGGAGAGAGTCGATTCCTGGAAGGTGTTCTCGAAGTGCTGAGTGCTGCTGCCCCTCCCGTAACAAGAAAAGAAGAAGAAAATAAAAGCCAACGGGGAGCAAACACATTTTTTTCTCACGTTTGGCTTTTATGGTCTTACCATATTTTGTCATTCTATGATTGTTAGTCATGTTTAACTTCAGCTGGGTGTGGTGACTCACACCCGTTTCAAGCACTTAGGAGGCTGAGACAAGAAAATTGCTTGAGTTCAAGCCAGGGCTCCAGTGTGAGATCTTCCCTCAAGATGAAAAAAAAAAGCAAGAGGAATTTAACATTTGTATTTGCTTTCTAGGAGTTTCTGGTTAGAGTTTTGTTTGGGCCTGTATTCTTGGAAGGTATGGTGATTCCAACCGTCCTTTCCTTTTTAAATGAGGCTCTGTAAAGCCAATAAGCAGCCTTGTGTACTGGGCTTAATTACAGCACTGAGGTCAGTTGGCCCTTTTGTTAGGGACTGAACTCTGCAGACCTCAGTCAGATAACTGCATCATCTCTTGTGTCTTTCCAAATTACCCACAAGTCCATGCTTTAATCCCCGCCAGCCTAAACTCTGCCCTGTGATGGACGGGCTTGTTGACACCGAGCTGGAGTGCGCAGCGTTGTCCCCTGTATGTTCGGGCCTTGCTGGCCCTGGCCCTGGGTCCTGGCTCGCACTGCCTTCCATACATGGTGGAAGAGGCCTGCTAGCTTGACTGCTGAGAATGAGAGAGGGGACCTAGAGTATAAGCACATGTCCAGTTTTCTACACCCACCTTGGTTGGAAACAGCCCTGCGATGGGGTCTTCAGTTTCTGAGGATCCTTCCTACCAGGTGTCCTGTATTCCCTCCTCACAGTGACTTGCATTTACCTTTGTTTCTGTCTGGGGAGTTAGTGCTTGTCTACCTGCTCTGTCTTTACTTTGACGGAATTTCTCTGCTATTACCAGTTTTTTTCTTTCCTGTGTGGATTAAAAAAAAATCTGCTTTGCTCTTTTTTGACTTGAGTAAAGTTTGGGAAGAAAGTTAGGACAAATGCATACATTCAGTTCAATGAATCTGTTAAAATTTCGGCAGACTATATGGTTGGGGAAACTGACTAAATGGTTGGAAATGGAATTGTTTATAGGCACCCAATATGAGAGAGTATATTTCGTCAGCTTAGCAGCCTTTTATTTGAGGTGTTCAGTTTGGTCATAACAAATACTCTATCTTCTGAGGAAGGCACTAAGGAAGTCGGCATCTAAATAGTATCTTCAAGTGGGAGCTTAAGGAGTCCACTTTAACAATCTGGTCTTTTTCTTTTTAGCAGCAAGTATATGTTAATTTTGTAATTCAAAATAGTAAAACTATTAAAAGCTAAAACACACCCTGTTTATGAGATGCGTGAGAGACAGTGGGTGTACCTAGGCTGTCCTCGTCTCTGGGAGCTTGTGATAAGGTGTAGAAAGATGCCTGGAGAAGTCTTACAGTTGAGCTTAATCTAAAGGGTGAACTTGCAGTGAGCCAGATGTGGAGGTGTAGATAACCTACCAGACTTCTGCCCCATTGGTCCTTTTGTCTTTAATTTTATACTTTTTCTTGACTTCTTTAGCCATAGTCTATAAAGACAGTAAGACAAACCCAGAAAACTGTGTTTTCTGTCCAGTTCTCCATCCTTTTGCTCAGATTCATGAGAATTTAGTTTTCTTTTTGTCTCCTTCTGTCCTTCCTATCTTGGCATGCGTGTCTTCCTGGCAGTAAACGTCATAAGAGCCTACTGTCGTCACTAATGTGCTGGCCGTAGTAAACGTCATAAGAGCCTACTGTCCTCACTAATGTGCTGGCCGTAGTAAACGTCATAAGAGCCTACTGTCCTCACTAATGTGCTGGCCGTAGCTGTTGATGCAGAGCTGAGGATAATTTGCTTGTTTACTCTCGAGCGGCTCTCACTGCCCTCTCTGCTGCTCTGCTCCTCTGTGGCCGTGCATCCTTACCATCTGGAATGTTTCCACTCCTCATATTTGACCGCTTCTTAGAACTTCTGTGATGTCATCTCTCATCTTCTACCTCTCTAACTTCATACGTGGAAATTCTTACGAATCTCTTCCTTGGGGAAACCCAACCAGTGCCGAGTGAGTTCCCAGGACTTCAAATTTAATGTATGCCAAAAATTAATATTCATCTTTCTCTGAGAAACTGCGTGCCACCCGAGTGGATTCACCCTTTCCCCTCCAGTGACCCAAGTCTTATGTCTTTTAAGTCCTTTTCCCTGTCGCGGTCTTAGCTTACTCTTTTTTTTTTTTTTTTTTTTTTTAACATTTTCACATCTTCTCTTGTCTTGTTCCTGTAACTGCTACCTTATTTCTAGTTTTCGCTGTCCTTTTCTTTTTCACCTGAATTGTTCATTCTGCTCCTTGAGCCTGCATTGCTCTATCCTGTTGGTTTCTTGATGCTGGTGTGGTCTTCTCAAAATAGCCTTTGATAGTATCATGATTAAAGACCTTCAACGGTTCTATGCTGGGTACAGGATAAAGCCCTGGAGTTCAACGGTTCCATGCTGGGTACAGGATAAAGCCCCGGAGTCGTGGCTGATGTGCTCAGTTGTGTATAGTTTACCTTCCACCTTTCACTCCTGCTTCTTTATCCTCTTTGTTTCTTTACTTCACAACTTAAGAGATAAAGATGTATATTCTCTTGCACCTGGGGAGAAGTTTGTGCTTATCTTATAAAGGAGGCATTATAATAAACATTGGGTCTAAGGAATATAATGAAAATAGTTGGATAGGAAAGAAGGGGAAAAATGGAAAAATCCAAATTGTCGCTCAGTATCCTTTGCCAGGTCTTCAGGAGGCCTTCTTAGCCAAGCTGGCTGCATTTCTGCACTTTGCCAGTAGGTGCCACCATAAAACGCATGCCACACCTTTACCTGAGAAGTGTCTCGGAAGCTTCAGCTTTTCCAAAGTAGATTCTATTGTTATAAGAATTTCACATTGCTGTACTTAGGCTTACTACACAGCTTTTTAATGCATACCTGTGTTGTATATGGACTAAATATATGGCTACAAATATTAATTTGGCTGGAAATTACTTGTCTCGTGTATTGTTCATTATTTTTTTGAAAAGACTTCAGAAGTATTTTGATACTATTTATGTGTCTTAAATCATAATTTTAAGAATGTTAAAGCAAATAATTTTTAAATTCTTGAATATATAATGGGAAAGCCTTATATTTTGTTTAGCAAAATGAAGAGTAATCAATTGCATGAAAGTATTTGTTCCTATTGTTTAGTATTTTCTTCCATCCATTTAATTTGTAGCTGTGCTTTTTATTACTAGCCTCGTTGTATTTTCTGCCCAGGGACTCGAGTGTGATGGAATAGGAGGTACAGTTCAATTCTTTCCTCTAGATTCTCCTTTTAATGTTTATCTAAATTAGCAAAAATCTTATCTTTTGGGAATGACTCATTCTTCCTTCCTCTCTTCCATTCAAGCTCCCTCTGTACTTTTAGTGTCATTCTTTGCTGTGGGACAACGGTCTGCACCCTGTCACTTGTATTTTAAATAAACGCTGATTGGCCAGTAGCCAGGCAGGAAGTAGAGGTGGGGTGACCAGGCAGGAAGTAGAGGTGGGGCAATGAGAATTCTGGGAACAGGGAAGTTTCAGTCTGCAGTTATCACCCAAATGCAAAGGAAGCCATACACAGAGCAAGCAAGATGTGGCTGCCTCGCCGATAAAGGTACCAAGCCACGTGGCCAACACAGACAAGAATTATGGGTTAATATAAGTTATAAGAGTTAATAAGAAGCCTGAGCTAATAGGCTAATCAGTTTATGATTAATGTAGACCTCTGTGTATTTCTTTGGGACTGAACAACTTTGGGACCTGTTGGGACAGAAATCTCTGGTAACAATACTCTTCCCCTCAAAAAAAAAATTTTTTTTAATCTTAAAAACCAGTGCATAGCTGGGTGGTCTGGAATACTGGGTTAAAACTTGTGGAGCTTCTAGTTCTAAAAGCAACAGGTTGAATTAAGTTACAGTATTGTCAGCTAGACTAGGAAGTCTAATGGTTGGCTTTGGTAGGGAGTGTATGAACTCACCATAGTAGCAGTGTTCAGAACGTTTGCTGTTGGCCAGAATTAACCTTGGCAAATAGTTAAAGCATATAAATATTTTCCTAGCAATCTGGCAATGATTTATACCATCTTGAGAATTCAGCAATTTTCTCTTATCGAATTAATGGGGGAAAACCAAATGATAACCTTTTCTTAGTATTATTTGAAATTTTTATTCTTATAATTTGCAACTAAGAATTTTTTTCATATTTTATTATCCTTTGAATCTCTATCAAAAATATTTTTGATAGTTTATATGTAGTTTCAATAAACCTATGTAATTGACCTAGCTACTTCAATAAAAGGATAAATTTAAAAGCCACTTGAAAGATCATTATTAATAAAAAGGATTTTTATCAGGCTGGTAACCTAACTGAACAGTTCCTAGTTGGCAGACGCATTGCTCATATCGGTCTATAAACCTTGACTTCATATTCACGCTGAGTAAAGGATAGAATGGCTTAAGCACATATATAATGTATTGTAAACAATTTTTTTGCAAATTAATGAAACTACCAGAGCAGCAGAAAGTACCAGTGTGCTAATTATGGATTAATTTGGGCTATATTTCACCCAATTTGTCTGGTCTTTTAATAGAAATATGTTCAAAGTAACAGCTGAAAAGAAAGTTCTTATATAAGTGAAGGTGTTCCTAGAATCAGCCTAGACTCTAGTTAGGGAAGTACAGCAGACAGATTCCTTGGAATGTCCCTTTCATTGACAAAAATTAATAATAACAGATAACATTTTTAAGTACTTTTTATTGCTTTGAATGAATGGGCAAATGTGATTTAAAAAAAAATCCAAGGATCAGATGACCAAGGATCAGATGAAGAAGAAAAGCCAGAGAGACAAGTCAAAGTGGAACAGGCCAAACAGAGTTCTCAGTGAACTGGATTCTATTCTGTGGGAGGGAAGGATGAGTGTGTGGTTGGGGGTTGTGGACATGCGTGGAATCTAGTGATCAACCCCTTAGGAGCTCTCCGCATTGTATTTTGAGAGCAGCTCTTCTGGCACCTGTGGTAGCTGCCTGTGTGCCCCATGGCTCTGCCTGTCTCCACCTTCCCAGACCTGTGGTTACTGGTACACTCCACTGCATCAGGCTTTTGGTGTGTAAGCTGGGGATCCACGTCAGGAACTCATGCTTGTGTGGCGAGCATTTTACCCAATGAGCACTCGCGCCAATCCAGAAATTCCCTTTGTAAAGCCACCAACGTCTACAGGACAGCTCAAACTGAGGTCTAATAGGAAGGCATGGTCACCCTCCAGGGATGACCCCCCAGCGTAAAGATGGACAAGGACTGTGTACCCCCATACAAGGGTTCCTATAGAAACGTAGTCGACTTGCAGGGTGGTGATGGCAAACACCTTTAGTTCCAGAACTCAGGAGGCAGAGGCAGGTGGATCTCTATGTGTTCGAAGCTGAGTGTTTTGTTCTTGGAGTCTTCAGCTAGAACAGGGCTCCTTTGTTCAACGACATCCCTGCGTGTTCCGTGGAGACTGATAGTGAAGTGTAGATGGAATTCCCTCTCAGAGCTGATGTGTGCACGAAATGCTTCCCACCTTGCTCTACATGGCAAGTCCTCTGTGGTACAAATGCAGCTATATTGTACCCTTCTCGGAGAAAGTAATTCAGTACACAATGAAAAGTAGGATTGGGAGCGAGGGCCGACGGGATATGATTCCTACGATAGGAGATGTGGGAGAGGCCGGACTAATGAGTTACGACTGGACTTTCCGTCCTCTGGCTGCCTCCTGAGTTTCCTTTTCTATTTGGATCAAATATTTACCCCATCCATCACATTTTCACATACTTGTTAGAATACCTGACTAAGATGTATAACCTGGTGATAAGGTATTGAGGACAGAAACTTAAGTTCATAGTTTTCCTTTATGCTACTACAGAAGTATAGTAGCATCCCCAAGGTAAAGAGAGGCAGATTTGCCACGACTCCACGTCACACCAGACGCGTCTTCCTGGGCACACCGTTTCCCAGGATAGCGGCCTCACACGCCACTGGACACCACTGACTGCTTCAGCGCAGACCATCCTGCTGTGTTTCCCACACTGGGCCTGGGCCAGCACCGGGAGCAGCAGCTGCGACCCAGATTCAGGCTCATAAGGAAACACTGACTTCAGGTTTTGAAAAAGAAAAACATTGGTCTATTGGCCCTAAGTCTAGTTTTTGGTTTGCTCGGATCATTACTAACTAACTTAATTTTCTCTTCTGTATATACTAATGCTTCTTGCATGGTGGGTAAGTATTTCTTTCAGATCTGGCTTCTTTCCTCTTCCCGTCCTGGAAGACCATGTGATCTAGGACAAGGTATTTCATCTCTGTGAAAATGAGTTCAGTGGCAGCTTATTGAGTTGGTTTTAAGATTAAGGCAACATTCTAGACATTCACTGAGAGGTGACTGTTTTTCTTGTCTTAGTAGTGTATAAAGTTGCACACTTTACATATATCAGATAAATAGAAATTCATCTGATCTGCATCAATTTCATACATAACTAAAATATTTTTTCCTCAGCTTTCAAATCAAGGAAGATGTAACTTGTGCCATGCTGGGTTTTAGAAAGACTTTATTTTGTTGCTCATGGTTTTTCTCTTTCCCCCAAATGCGTTGCGATTTGATCTGTAAGGTCAGAGTTATATTCTTTGAAAGGTGTTAACACTGAAAAATACTTTTTCCAGCTTATAAGCTTACTGTCATTTACAAAGCTTTCAGAAGCGCACTCCTCTTTCTATTCTCAGCCTGGCAGGGGGCCGGATATTGTCGGTGCTGAAGATGCAGCTGACCAAAGGCCACAACAGTGGAGATCCTTTCTACAAAGCTGTAGAGGAAGTTGTTCGGGATTTGGATCTGAGGATTAAAAATATTATCAGTTCTCAAGAAGGCGAAGCCGTCAGCACCACCGGAGTCAGTCCTGCAGCGGTAACGGATTTATTCTTCATTGTCCTTCTGTATAAAACATGATCTCTTCTATTCATTGCGGAAATTGTTTGCCGCCGCTACTCAAGTGAGAAGAATGCGTTTTCTGTGTTTTAAGATGATGCCATCAAATTTGATTTTCTCAGTAGGATTATGTTCAACTTAGGTAAATCAAAACATCTTTAGAGCAAAGGTGTTTGTTGAAATGAGGCGTTGGATAATCTCCAGTCTATCTTTCAGCACTGGATACTTAAGGTGCTTAGGGCTACTTTTCAATAATAATTTTTATAATATCATTATTTTTCTATTTACTTTGATGTAAAATAATAGTCTGGTTTTGACCGCAACGCTCATCTCTCTGCAGGACAGCAGCGGTCCTGTTAGAACAGGTTTTTCCTTCAGAAGTTTACTTTCCATACATAGAGCTATATAATTGTTATTACTAACTACATTTCCAGTTGATTACAATTCAGCCTTCCACATACTTGGGAATCTTCTAATTATACAACATATACTTCTTCCTTGACTTTCTTGCATAGTCAGTTTTAATGGATCATTACTACAGAAATGAACTACTATGATTTTAAGTGCAGAACGGAATTTTAGACTATTATGGTGCGTCTATCTTTTTCTCTTTTCTCTTTCTTTTGTTTTTATTTGAGATGAAGTCTTCCTGTGTCGTCCAGGTTGGTTTGGAAGTCACGATGTAGCCCAGACTGGTCTCAGACTCCTATCGTAGCGTTTTGAATGCTGGGATTACAGTGTGAACCATTGTGCCTATCTACATTGTGGCATTTATTCGGTTAACAAAAGGCCCTTTTCATTAGGTGTCCCCACGGCAGGCCGTGCATGAAGAGATTCTTTTGCTTTTGCTGTTTATTCATTCTTTCATCCACGGGCCTTGGTGGTCATTTTTATCTATTTTACCACAAAAATGCATGTTCTTAGATTTACTTCAAAGGCATCATGGGGAAGATTCTGGGATGCTACCCCAATTATTTCATGTGCATGCCAACATTTTGAGTAACTAGCTTGGCACAAAACACAAGGGAGCTATCGCTGCAAGTGTAAGCCAGGAACCACTGCCATCTGAGATCACTCCGAGTGCCAGTTTCTCATCTGTAGGCAAACAAAATCCTGCCGCAAACCACCTGTTCCCAGTCTTACGTTTTCCACTAAAGCACGGACTTTGAGAACATCATCAAATAACACTCAGCGAAGGTACTACTAGCCATGTGGTCCTCTCTGATACCGAAGTAAACCGTGTGGTAGGTACTAGGTGAGGGTAGGCTCGGTGAGGGTACTATTGGCCTGTAACCCTCTCTGATACTGATGTAAACCTGTGGTGAGTACTAGGTCAGCGTAGGCTCTTGGTTTTAGTTTGAGTGCTGCTGTGTGTTACAGTTTGTCTGGTAGCCTTAGCTGGCAGAGAGGGAGAGAGACAGAGAGACAGAGAGAGAGAGAGACAGAGAGAGAGGCCAAAGCCATGTTGGTAAGTGCTGAGGCGGCTGGCACAAGTCCACCGAAGCCCTGAGAGAGTAGCTCTGAGGTTTAGGCACAGTATCCCTCGCCCCAGTGGGCAAGGCGCTGCCATTGCTCTTTGGCAAGTGAGAACATCTTGGGTGTAGGGAAGCTGAGTATTTCTCAGAGTCCCGTACTACGTAATTCGTAGGGTATTTCTAGCCCAAGAATTCCCGAGAGTTGATGTCCATGTGTCTCTGGATGTGACACGGTGCCGTGCATTGCCACCTCCCCCTTTATTCTCTAATTCCTCCTTTCCCGGCTCTCCCTTTTAATCTGTTTCAGCACTGTTTAGTTCAGACCATTTCATTTCAAAACTAAGTTATTGTAATCTTTTAATTTGCTGTAGCTGTGTCCATATTTGACAAATTTTACCCTAAAATATATTTTACACATTCCTGTTGTTGATTTTTCTAAAGTCTAACTAAATAAGATTATTGTATTTACTTGCTTAATAAAGCAGATTGCCTTATAACTTCCATGCATAGATGCGTTGTTTCTTCACACTCCCTTGAACTCTTCCTTCTGACCAAGGTGCCTGGATCTGTCCTAGCCCCTGGTCTCCACAGCTCCTTCCTCTCTGTGAGCTGTCCTAGCCCCTGGTCTCTGCAGCTCCTTCCTCTCTGAGCTGTCCTAGCCCCTGGTCTCCACAGCTCCTTCTTCTCTGTGACTCCTTTTAGCTCCATTCTCTCCACAGGATTCTCACCATGATGAGTTGGGTGTTTCTACCACACTGTGCGTGTGTGTACTAGAAATCACTGCACTCTGTAACGTAACTTTTTGCTGACTTACTTGTCTTATCAAGGGGGCCATGATTTCTCTGAAGGTAGTGCTTTTCACCTTGGAAGCCTTAGTTTCTTAAAATAATGCTTAGAACATAGGGTAATCACGAATTTTCATTTGATTAAGCCTTTCATTTTGCATTTTTGTGATAGGGTCTAATTATAACCAGGCTGATCTTGAACTCATGTAACTGAAACTAGTCTCACACTCATGTGCTCTTGTCCCCCTCCCCCCATCCCCGTGCTAGGGAAGTAGGCGTGCACCACATCTGGCTCTTGATCAGATCCTGAGTTCATAGAGGTTTGCTTTGGATTGCCAGAGTCCTGCCCTGTACAAGAGAAAAAGCACACAGATATTAAGAGATAAGTCATGGGGTTGAGGCTAACTAGATAGCGATTAGATTTTTCTGTCTTATAAGCCTAATGTTATTCACATCAGAAACAAATGTCGTCCTTTGATGATATTCTTATATATCTGAAAATTGGTAAAGTTGATTATAGTGTGGTTTAAAGGAGAAATGTCTAGATAGCTTATATCTATAGCTGATTTTCTGTGATTTCAGCAATAAAGAAAGAAAAATGACATTTGAAATGGAAATTCATGACTGATTCACCTAGATGAGGTGATTATTATAATTTAAAATTAATTTTTGTTCTAGCCAAAATCTTTTGCCATAAACCATGACACTGCATACTGCGGCAGAGATGCTGTGAAAATTTTGCTGATTCTTTTGGATGAAGACGCGGCCAGTGCTCCAACCAGAAACAGAGCAGAACTTTTATATAACGATGAGAGCGCAGTGCCACACAGCGGGGCTTCTTTTCTCACGCTCTTCAGGTGTGTGGTGTGGCAGCTGTACGTGTGTGTGTGTGTGTGTGTGTGTGTGTGTATGCACACATACCTTGCTGATTATTAGGAATTTCTACCTATGAAAGGAAACTTGGAAGCAGCTGGACAATATGGAAAAAGCAAACAAAAAAATAAAGGAAGATTGGACATTTCACTGTAGCACAGTTATATTTATAATGTAGCACTTAAGAGTGTGGCAGGTGATTTGGGTTCTAAGTGTTTTGCTGTAAAAATACTTGTTTTGGTATGCGTCAAGAACCTTGGTAAACCGCATACCAAAACTTGGTAAAAGAAGTCCTTCAAGCACTTCTTTTAATAGTGTCCGCACTGTCCAAGTGGAGAATTGAGACTTAAGAGAGATGTCATGATGTTCCCAAGAGAGCTCAGTTAACAAGCAGCCAAGGTTTCCTCTCCCAGCCTTGAAGTCTTTCTTTATGGACCACTGTTCTGCATAAGAATAGGACGGACATGCACACCGTGTTCATAGCAGAATCAGCATCTGTTGGGTCCTTGGGCATTGCGAAGGAAAGGATTTGCTAGGTGCATGTTGGAGTTGTACACAGGCCTTGATACTGCCTTGCTCTTGCTGCAGCAGCTGTAATAAATACCACAGACTGCTACCGTTGCTGTTAACCAACAGAAACCTAGTGTGAGGTGAGAAGCGGCAGATGTGGCGTAGATGGGCTCTGTTAAGAACTCTGGCAGTGTTGTTTTCCCTGGATGACCTTTCTGTAGTGCGTGGACGCAGTGGTCGCTCTGTTGTTCCTTTCCTACCAGGTGTCTGTCCTACATCGTTGAGTTTACTCCTCTGACTGTAACTGTCTCCTGGAATCTTTATCACGATTACAGCTTGTGTTTTCTTCCTTGTAGATGTTTATGGGAGTAGAGAGAACATTAGTTTAAAAGCTACTCTGGTTTATGAGTGTCATAGTTCATTTTAGTTACCACCAAAAGATGTCTTAGACTGGGTGATTGATAAATAAATTCATTTCTTATAGTTCTGGAGCCTAAAAATTTAAGATCACAGTGTCAGTAGATTGACTGCTGTTTGTAGGCAAAGGCCTGCCTGTTCCTCATGAGTTGCACCTGCTCATGCTTCTTACCATGGTAGAAAATTTGAAAGGACAACAGTGGCCAAACAGGGTCTCAAGCTCTTGTATAAGGACACTAGCCTGAACACCTTCTAAAGGCCTTCCCTCTTAATAGTGTTTCATTAGCAATTAAATATCAATATAATTTTGAAAGGACAGAAACATTCAAGCTCTATTAATTTGTGTCTTTTTTCTTATATAGGTCTCCCACACAAGTAGATAATACATCAATTAAACCCCTCAGAGAGCGAATCCGTAAGTCAGTGCAAGCAGAAAAAGTTAAGGTATAATAAAGTTTAATCATAAAATGGTAAATATTGTTTTATTTTGGAAGAAATAAATATACAAACCTGGGTCGGATACTGTAAATATGCAATTCATGTAACACAATAGGAAGGAAATGAAAACTAAGCCATGACAATGACAGTTGGTACAGAAAAACATTGTTTTCACATAACCTTGACCTGTCTGTAGCTTTTTAATTTACTGGAGTAAATGAAAGAAAGGCGTACGTATGGCACGAGTGAGAGGAGAAGTAAGGAAGCTGTGCCTGTCGTGTAGGATAGAAACCCAATAAATAGTAGTTTATTTTAAAAGATTTTGTTTTAGGGAGAGAGTAAAGAAACTTCATATGTCACTTTACAAATAGAAAACTATCTGAGCTGGGCATCCTGGGTGTCTCCATGATCCTGGCAGCCTTACACTCTGGTGTCTCAGGCAAGGAGGATCTCAAGTTCTCGGCCAGCCTGGGTGCATGGGGAGATCATGTCTTAAGCAAGCATACAGGCAGAAAACCCCTCAATGTAGGCTACTCCCTGATGTTTTAGATACAACCATCCCAAGATCAGATAGAACTCTTATGCTTTTTGTATTTTGATATGTATTTCGTGGTTAATCATCTTTTTTCCTCACCTGTACCTGGCCTTCTTACTGTAAGAACATGCTTCCTTGTAACTGTAGTGTTCTGAGTTGGATCTGTCACCAAGGGCTTTGGAATTTCTCTCTGTGGTGCCTGAAGAGGGCCTCTAGCAGGAGACATGGTCACACTAGTTCTCAACAACATGGAATGGGAATCAAAAGCTTTGTTCTTGCTACACATGAAATTGAGAAAGGCATACTATCCTAAACAGCATAGTTACTGTCTTTTTATTGGTGTTTCCTGTAGGTGATGCTCTAATGGGACAGGTGACATGTAGGTGCCACCACCCTCTGACCTACATCGTCTTACCATACGTTTTATAACTTGTTTGTCTGAGGAAGGGGATCAGAGAGTGTCACTATGTGGCCCAGGCTGGATGGAACGCTCTACTACCTCAGTCTACAGAACACTAATTAGAAGCGTACACCATTGCATTTACTCCTCGTTATAACTTTATAAACACGTTTCTAAGTCTTTGTGAGCAGTAGAAAGAGTTGCCGGAAATCTTGAGTGACAGGAAGACTTGTGGTGAGCTGATACAGCAGAAGTTGTGTTCCCAGGGACCACAGGTGCCCAGTGAGGAGGGAGTCTTGCCACGGTCAGCTCCCAGGGACCGCGGGTGCCCAGTGAGGGGAGGCTTGTCTCTCTCAGCTCCCAGGGACCGCGGGTGCCCAGTGAGGAGGGAGTCTTGTCTCTCTCAGCTCCCAGGGACCGCGGGTGCCCAGTGAGGAGGGAGTCTTGCCACCGTCAGCTCCCAGGGACCGCGGGTGCCCAGTGAGGGGGGACCTTGTCACTCTTTTCTAGTTTCTGTCAAAAATAGCTTTCCAGCCGTGTGCATTTTTACACCTTTTTTTTCCCAGCTTTTCACTTCTTTGTGACTAACAGGCTGTAGTTGTCTAGTTCTTCAGTGAAAAATATGGAACAAAATTTTTCTAATATGGGAATGGCTTTCATTAGTTTTAAAGATAATTTATCGCTCAAAATGAAATTGGCTTTTCTGAAGCAGCTGGAAAGGTGGCCATTCCCGTATCTTTCAAGCTACGGTCAGGGATTTTATTGCTGTCACCTTTGCAAACACTAGTCCCTGGTTATATGGCATAAAATGTAATTACTAAATATAATATATAATTACATTTTAATCAGTAAATACTCTTAGTAATATCCAGCATAATGTAAATATAATTTGAAGTGATAAAAGGCTGTGAGGTGACTTCTAATGGTTTGGGGAATTCCCCGCATCATCATCAATGGTTATAGACTAAGTGCGGTTGATGATGTATCTGCATTTTATGTATAGACCAGACAGGAATACTGGAATGTGCTCCTGATCCTGGGGTAGCTCAGAAATCTCACTGCAGAGTGCACTTCCAGACTGCGTGTTTTCCTGTCCTAGTTCATAGACTGACTTTCCTTCTTCCTTCCCCGCCTCGCCCTCCAGTGTCTCCGTACATATGTAACCCAGGCTGACCTTCAGCTTCCGAGCCTCCTGCTCTAGTCTGTTAGAGTGTTAGGGCTACAGCTGGATGTCGCCATGTCTTCTCATTAACAACTTTATCTATCTGATAACTTTTCTTCATTTATGAGAAAGTCGGGCTTTCATTTCTTATCTCTGAGGTTAAATGCAAGTGTATAGTGTGAAATTTTCACCATTAAAACTCTTCGTTAAGTCTTTGTTGAATGATACAGTTAAAAACTCTTTCTGGTTTCCCCAAATATTTGTTTTAACTAAGAAATAATGTCTTCCCATGTTGTTTGTGCTCCCCTTGCTAAACATTTGCTATTTCCATCTCTCTTAACATCTCCATTCCCATTTTTGCCTTAGTATTTCTCCTCCCACCAAGGTCTTTAATCGCATGTGCTACTTTTGGAGTTTTTTAAAAATACAATATAGAACTCCCATTTTTTATGGTTGTGTGTATGTATTCAGTTATCATAACATTCACTCCAAAGCCGCCCAAAGGAAAGTATTACAAAACCTCTAGAATATAAAATTGAATTTTATAACTATTATAAAAATATAAAACATATGGATAAAGCTAGATATTGCTAACAAGCACTGAGAGACTAAACCGTAGTAACAAGTGAGTTCCAAAACTGTAACAAAACTAGACAGAAGTTCCCAGTGAGTGCTGTTATTTGTAAGAACCGCCTTTATAGTATGTGTCAGTTACTAGGGAACATGTCTATAACTAAATGGAAAATAAGACAAAATATAATTCCATTTTTTTCTTTGTGTTACCAGATGAGGCAGACCTTAATTAGATCACAGTTTGCTTGTACTTATAAAGACGACTGCACAATGGGCAAGAACAGATGGAACGGTAATTTATCATCAGAGCCGGCTCATGCTCTGCGCTTGGAAAATGATGTTTCTGGTAATGAACCTCGTTTGAGTAATTAGCCAACCAATTATTCTCACAAATACTAGGAAATGTAAAGACTTGTTTTTAAGGCCTACATTTGTTTAAGAAATTGAATCTAAGTACAAATTTATGGACAGGAATAGGATATGATTTAACCTAGCTAAGTGGATTTAAAAAATAATTCATAGTATTTACCTGTTGTATTTTTACATAGATATTCATTGTTTGGGGTGAGATGTGGCATAGTAAAAAGACAATGTAGTTATTTCTTGACATTTGATTGGGTGGGATTATTATATTATACATGTCTTTAGATGCTCTAGCCATTTTAATGATTATTTTATATGTCTTGTGATTTGTAATACTAAGTATTATATGATTCCTTTCCCCTTGTCATTTTAAGGTGCCCTTTCCTCTGTTGGAAAAGAAAGAATTGAAACAAGTTCGGAAAGTGTGCATCAGGACAGAAGTAAAGATGACAAAAAACCTAGAAAACCTACAGAAAATAAAGTACCCAAAAGGAAGCAGGTGGATCTAGACAGCGACAGCGTCCCCTGTGATAATAGAAATGAACCGTACCAACATAAACTTGTTAAGTTCCCGAAAGTACCCAGTGACTCACACAGTAAGGCTGGCAGCAAAGCAGCCCACGGAGCAAAAGGCAATAGGGGCACTGCCAAGGTCAAACTGATTCCTGGCCAGACCAAGTTAACTCAGTTTTTTAGGCTATGATTTTGTCATCTGTGTGCTTTAGATTTGTGTACAGAACACCATTCACCAAAGCCATGAGCTAACTTTTAAATATCATGATGTAAATTCTGATGCTTTATTATTTTGACAGATGTATGAGAGGCGCACATGTTAACCGCTGTCCAAAAATACCAGCAAGTCAGAATTATGCAGGAATTTCATAAAGTTTAATGCACAAGTCAAAGCATATCATGTAGGTTATTACGTCTTAACTATTTTAAAAGACATTTAGGATAATGCACAGGTCACATCAACACTAAGGGCTTCTCTCTCCCCTTGCAATGAATTGCATTCTTCCGGAAGGACGGCGTGGACCAGCAGGACTCAGACTTGCCAGCAGGGCCGGTAGACTCTCCCCAGCATACACCTGAGCACTGAGAGGGAACAAATGAGCGCAGTTACCACACAGAATGAAGAAAAGTTGTGGAGCTGTTTTAATAAATTCGGAATAAATCAAACCACAATTATGATTTTTAGGAATTTCCCATTTTGACAGGGTCACCTGAACCCGTGTTCCTACTACACTTTGATATGGTCAGATCCAAGTCAGTTAAGCTCAGATCGCTTTTTATAGAATTAAAATGTAGGAATTGAAGTTTTAAAAAGCTACTCACTGTCAAAATCTCTCCTTCCTATGGGAAATTTAGCTGAGTTTTCTTCATCCCCAATTTCTCTCTTTTCTTGTGTTGACTCAGAATTCTGAACTCCATTCTCAGCTGGAAAAGCTACTGATCCTTTCAGAGCGAGATAAGGTTTTATAGCCAGATTCAGTGGCAGACCATGACTTAGGAGATTCTGTTTGGAGCCTGGGTTCTGTAAAGAGAAGGTTGGTTTGTGTTCCAGCTGTCGTCTTGAGCACAGACAAGCTAAAGTACCGTTGCCCAGCATGCCTGCGGGTCAGTTCTAAGGTGCTCTACACTGTTTTTCACTTCTAAAATATCCTCGATACAAGAAACACAGTTTTGATAAGATGGGGAGGTACCTGGTCTGTGTGAAATGGTACTAGTCATCTGAACGCAAACTGTGAGTCTGTCGGCAGTATTCCCATTTATAAAATTAAAACACCAAGTTTAAAAGTCATTTTCCTTCCTATGGTAATAAAGTCAGACTGCATGGACTTACCTTTGAATTCTTGTTCTCGTCGTCGCTCAGGAAGCCGCTGTCGTCGTTTTTATATTGTTCCAGTGAGGGAGCCACAACCGATCTTTCTGCAGCATCTTCCTTCTGGAAGGCTTTCCCCATCCTAAATGTATTAAATACCACGTCGTCTTCTAAATTTCTTATGGACTTGGAAGCTGAAAGTAAAATACCTTGAGAAAACAAAGACACAATCAGCATTAATATGTAGGAAGAGAGACTCATTTTTGCCGTCCTTAGTTTGATGCTAGCCTAAGGCGAAGCAAGAACGTGTAAAATGAAAAATTTCGCACTTTGACAGTGGCTGATGCCCTGCCTTTATATGTTTTCTGCTTGAATAGAAAACACTTGAAGGACTTATCTTTTCATCATTTGGAAGTGACTCATTGCGGAGGGCCTAGCCTTTTGTAAAGCTGCTAATGCCTGATTGCTTGGGTTTTAGTGCCCTGTTGTTTATTTTGTGTGTGAATTTTCTCAGAATCTGATTAAGGCCTTTGATAGAAGGCTTTCTGTTGAGTAGATTATAGGCTCTCGAAAGTGGGTTGTTATTAAGGAAGACCACGGGACACCAGGCTCTGTTAATAAGACTGTTTCCTTCTTTGTGGTTTCCGATTAAGCTATTAAAACACAAGTTACTTCATTCACGGATGATAAGGATAAAGTTTTATGCTCTTTTAATCCTTCTTAAATAGAAGTTATCTCCAGAAGAGTTTTATTTTATAAATACTTGATATGATCTTTTGTGTTCTAAAGTACATACACTTGTCAGTATTAACAAAATAAACAAACCCAAAACCTCTTCACTTCATCCAAAACTCATCTGTCTGGTGTTTCATCTCAGTTCCAAGAGGACAATAAATATTTATTAGTGAATTTAGTAACTAAATGATAAAAAGTCTATGAAAAAATATTGATGGCTTCCATAGAGATTAATTTTAGAAGTTTTATGCTTTTGCTTTGTTTCTTATTTATTGAGACTGGGTCTTGCATTGTAGCCCTGGCTAGATTTAAATCTATGGCAATCCTCCTGCCTCACCCTAACAAAGTCTGGGATTGCAGGTAGGTACTATGCTACCACAGTGAGCTTAGAAATTGTTTCTTTTAATCACACGCTTCAGACTTAATTTGTAAGATTTTAGTACATTCTCATGCAAGTCTTTGTGTGTGCGTGTGTGTGTGTAGTCTCTAGGCCATAGTATATGTCTGTGTTGGGTTTTAGAAATGCTTTTGTTTAACAGGGCACAAGAACCTGTTGCCCCTTGTTTGACCCTGACAGTATTTGAGTATCTCCTTATGCTTTGGGGCTTTTCTCTTACCTGTTGTTCTATGTGTCCTCTTCCCTCCTCCTGAGCTTTGAACCTGGGGTTGCATGTGCTGGCCACATGCTCTGTCACTGAGCGGTATCTATCTCTAACCCTTCTAGTTTTCGTTCTTTAGGTGGTGTGGCCCTGTTTATCAGCAGGGCCTTGAACTGGAGTCGAGGCAGGCCTTGAATTGTCAATCCTTCTTAGCATTCAGAGCTGCTAGAAGGGCTGCCCGACTTTGCTATCTTCTGCTAATTGATTATGAGCACCCTGTGTACACTATTCTGGACATTATTTGTTAGATATGCATGTTGGAAATATATTTATTGGTTTGGGTCTTGTTATTTCAACTTCTTTGTGGTGTGTTTTGGTGACCTCGAATGCTTACTATTAATATGTAAATTATTCTTCATGTTTACTTATTCTTAATATGTGCTTTCTCAAGAAATGTTTTCTAACTCTGAGATTATTAATGTATTTCCATACATTGTATTTTTAAACTTAAATATTTTTATTTTCACATTTGTCATTTATTAATTAATTCTAAATTATTTAGAATGTTGCAAATGGTAGTGTATTTAGGCTTTTGAGTTACCGGTGTCTACATGTTTCCTGGGCCGTTATGCATCCTCTTCCTGTTGATCTGCGGCTTACCTGTGCAGTGTGCCAGGCTTCCTGGAATGTGTGGATTCTTTTCTGAAGTCTTTGCTCTGCTGTCACATCGACAGACTTATCAATTTATATTTTAATGTTGAAGTGGGTGAAGCCTCCCAGCCATTTCATCTGCTGTTGACTTTTGTTAAGCAGCTCCTTGGCTCTTCTTGGATAATTCTTAGTTCCAAAGCACAGGGATTCCTTACAGACTTTTTATGAAGACACACTAGCCCCAACCTCCAGCTAGTGTTGAAAGGGAGGACACAGACATCTGCATAGTAATCATTTTACAGAGCATAGTGACGCTTTGCCCTTGAGCATGACCGAGGTCTCTTGTGGACTGTCGAAAGGGTAGGAGATTCCCTTCTGTTTTTGCTTTACTGACATTTTTTATCAGAAACTGCTGGTTTTTATTGAATGCTAGTACTCTATGTATTTTGGAAATGATCGTATAATTTTTTTTTTTTTAGTCTTTAGTGGGCTAATAGATTTTCTCTAGTACTAAAATTTTCATGTGCTGGAAAACAAATTTTCATTTATATTCAACCTAGAAATATTTCATTTGGTTATTTTAAGTTTATTATCATGAATGAGATCTATAAGTTCTCTTTAATACTGAATTTGTCTGAGTTTGACATTAGATTGTAATAATTTCATAAATGTAAGAAGGGAAAGTCTCTTCCTTTACTGTACACTATTTGGGTGTGATTTTCCCATAGTGAAATTTAAAATCGTTTTTGTTCTGAAAAGCTAGAAAGAGGTATTCAACCTCTCTGTTCTTTGTTTTAAGAATTTTCTATCTATGATGTGTGCAAAGTATATTTTATCAGGTAGACATAGTTAATGTTCAGTCACCCGGGGCTATTAAAATTATAATAGGTAAGTGTTTTCTGGGTGTTATATAAACAAAAATCTCTCCTCTCTTAGAGAGTGCTTATCTGTTTTTTTTGCTGCTGGTTTATTTGCTTTTAATCTTAATGCTGTTACCTGTGGCCTGCTTTGTTTTCCAGACCTAAAACCTGCTTGGAGGTGTGTGCATGATCCATAGAAGTGCTTATTAATACTAACCTTTTCTTCTGAGCTGCTGTTGGAGTATGATAAGTATTAATAATTATGTATTTTGTTTTAAGTTTCCACTGGCTGAATTGTTTTGGCTAGGTTTCCTCTAAGATTCGAACCAAATCCAAACCATTCTGACAGTTTAAAAAATTAGTTAGTGTTTTCCTTTATTTTGCTTAAACTGCTTTAGCCTCTGAGCAATATGAGGTTTTCTCATAGCCATTTAATGACAGAGATAGCTTCCAGTTTTTAATGATAACTGTTTTCACATCAGCTGCTCTGATGTGCAGTAGAGCATGGCAGATTTCTTTTTTATTGATGCTGAAAATATAGTTCCCCAAGCAGTAGAAAGCAACTTTGAAGAAGAAAAAACTATTGCCAGATGGAATTGTGTGGTTCAGGAAACCTGGGTAAGTACTAGGTTTATATCAAGCGCAGCTTCATTTTCTGAAGGACTACTATGAATGCTGTCTTTGTTTGTAAATCATTTTCTTATTAATCTTCCTTCCAGTTAGCGTATTGTTGCTATGTGACGAGAGTAAATTTGCCGAGAATCTTGTCAGGTGGGCACTGGTTTACTAAGAATGAAGAATTTCTTGCTGATTAAATTTCTCAGTATAAGCACCAAGGTTGTTTCAGAACTTCCGTGTGTAGAAAAACAGTGCTTTAGGAAAAATTCTTCCTTGTTGAACTTGATTCAGTAAAAATGAGTAAATATAAAAATAATTCCCGTGGATCTTCAAATACACAGAGAAACATTAAACTTCTAAAAGTTGTTCATCCCAGAAGAAATCCACACACAGGTCTATTGCGAACAGAGTCTTGAAATGTAACAGATGTGGGGACCAAGAGGACCCACAACTGAGTCAGCCCAGGATGCTTTAGGCTGATGGGGGTTTCTCTTGGGAGCCCTCTATTGGGTCTGCTGAGAATTTGGGCCAAGGCCTTAGAATTCACCAGCAGGTTTAATTTGAAAAGACTTTTTTTTTTTTGTTTGTTTGCAGTTGTTTCTGTACAAAACACTCAGTTGTTTTCTTTGCTGCAGATGCAGTGAATAGCCTGGATATTTCCACCTAGATTCTCTCACTGATATTTAGTTGCATCCCTTGATTCTTTCTACCTTTTCTGTATGGGATGTTGCCTTTTGTTAACTGAGTTGTAAGAGTTAATTATGAGTATATTGTTGTGTGTGTATGTGTGTGTGTGTATGTGACAGTTATCTCTCTGTCTGCCTTTAACATAGTTGAATTTTTGTAAGCATAAAAGCTTCCTTTTGAGATATTTTGATTGAGGGAGACATTATAGGACTAGCAAGAAACCTGGCACTAGATAAATTCCCAGGAATCCACAAGGATGATCCCAATTAAGACCTTAAGCAATAAAGGAGGGGGTGTCTAAATTGGCTTTGCCCTATAGTCAGACTGATGAATATCTTAAATATCACCATAGAACCTTCATCCAGCAACTGATGGAAACAGGCAGAGACCCCTGTTGGAGCACTGGATTGAGCTCCCAAAGTCCAGTTGGAGAGTGGGAGGAGTGAGAATATGAGCAAAGAGGTCAAGACCATGATGGGCACACCCACTGAAACAGCTCACCTGAGCTAATGGGAGCTCACCAACTCCAGCTGGACTGGGAAGAAACCAGCATAGGGCCAAGCTAGACTCTCTGAGTGTGGGTGACAGTTATATGGCTGGGGCAGACTGTAGGGTCACTGGCAGTGGGACCAGGATTTATCCCTACTGCTTGTACTGGCTTTTTGGAACCCATTCTCTTTGGAGAGATACCTTGCTCATCCTAGATATAGTAGGGAGGGCCTTGGACCTTCCTCAAAGCAAAGTGCCTTACCCTCTCTGAGGAGTGGATGGGGAGTGGGATGGGGGGGGTAAGTGGAAGGGATGGGAGGAGGAGAGGGAGTAGGAACTGATATTGGTATGTAAAATGACAAAAGATATTTGTTTTCTTTTCAAAAAAGAAATTTAAAAAGTTTCCTTTTGATTAGATACAGTTTATCAAATTAAGAATTGTTATTGCTTTCATTTTTTAAGAAATATTTGCTTATTTCTAACACATGAAGATGTTTTCTTACATTGCTGGAAGCTTTTTTTATCTTACATTTAGTTATCACCTTTCATATTAATCCTTGCATTTTTAAATGGTAGGAGCTGGTTCTCTGTCCTTAGTTCTGCGCACGGAGGGCCAGCTGGGTCAGCAGATCAGCTGACGACTGTCTTCTTCTTCTAACTGCTTCACTTTGATGTGCGTGTCGAAAATTCAACTCCTGGCAGTACAGAGTTGTTCGGGACTTCCTATCTTGTTTGTTTAATGGCTGATGTATTTATTAAAATTTTACTGTTGTATCATCTTATGTGTCCTTGACACTTGCTAAGAGAGCAGATTTGGAAGGTTTTGGAATAGCTTTGCCCTGTATCAGCTTGTCTTGATAATAATATTGAAGTTGATTGGGCAGTTTGTTTCATTTTCATGATTGCTAGATATGCTAAGCTTTGTTTTTTTTTAATTTATTAAAGATTTCTGTCTCTTCCCCACCTCCGCCTCCCCTTTCCCTCCCCCACCCCCAATCAAGTCCCCCTCCCTCGTCAGCCCAAAGAGCAATCAGGGTTCTCTGCCCTGTGGGAAGTCCAAGGACCACCCTCCTCCATCCAGGTCTCGTAAGGTGAGCATCCAGACTGCCTAGGCTCTAAGCTTTGTTTTTTAAATCATAGATTGTACTTTGGAATCAGACTGGAAGTAAATTTGAAGTCAATAATATTAAAATCATGTGGTTTAGGAAAGTAACCATAAAAAAATTAGAGACTAGTTTGGATTGAAGATAAATATGACATAATTTGTGGAACCAGCTGATGTGCTTAAAAGGAAACATATGCTTTAAAATGTGCATTTTCTAAAATAAAAAGCAAAAACCCAGTTTACACCTGGAGCTCTGATCTTAATGAATACAAAAAAGAATCAGAAATAAATTTAAAAAATTAAAAATACATAAATAAAAAGTAAATTCAGAAAATGAAGCAAATGAAGGACAAGAAATAAGAGCAAAGAGATGGCTCCATTGGTAAAGTGCTGCTGCAGCAGCATGAGGACCCAAGTTCAACTCGGCACCTATGTAAGAGTTGGGCATGGTGACACACCCTGCTAATCCCCGTACCAGGGAAGCCCAGACAGGAAGATCTGCAGGGCTTACTGACCAGCCATTGTAGCCAAATAGATGAGTTCTAGGTTCAGGGAGAGACTTCATCTCAAAAGTACTAATAGAAAGAATGTGGAGAGCAACTGTAAAAGTTACTCAACATAGATCTCAGGTCTCCAACACACTCAAGCACATATGCACGCATGTTGTATATTCATATGTCTGTATACACTTAAACATGTACACACAAACATACACCATGCACACATACACATATTTGTACATAAAATACAAGCACATGTCACATGTACACACAAAAGCAGTCATACACGCACAAACGTACATGTATATGCTCACATACAAAACGTACACACCACCAATAAAA